GAACTTATTGTTTCCAAATGAACACAAATAACCTAATTTGTCCAGATAAGAAACTCGAAACCAAATTCCGTCTAAATGACTGGCATAACAAAAGTGTCTTTCAAATCCAAATAAAAACCAAGTACTCAATAACAATTTAAAATGCCCTATGGCTTCCACCTCTACCGATTTGTCATCTCCAACATATATCCATCTTTTAGAATCAATTGGCTTCCGGTAGCTTAGGCAACCCTTTATAGAAACACCGATGTTAGTAGTTGCACCTGAGTCTAACCACTAAGTGTTACTAGGTACTCGACGCTAAATTGACTTCGAACAGCACCAAAGTAGGAAACATACTTTTGAGGATCGGAACATAATTTAAATTGGCGGATACGTAAGCAATTATAGCTGGATTAGAACAAAAGAAATAAACTAATTATGCTCACATTATATAAAAAATAATTATAAATAAAATATATATTCAAATAATGGTTTAACCCATCTCAAGACACCCAATGCACCATCAATATCAAGTCTTTGGACAAGAATATTAACTGCTAGAGGTATCTTGTTGTAATAATCAAACATTGACAATAAAGCACGTCCAACAACAAACCAATCTTTGGATTGATTTATCATCGACAAAGCTAATCTTTATAATTATCACATGTTTATCATTACAAGTGTATATGCAATTCGGCCAAATATTAATCTTCCTTTGGGCCGACTAATACTCGCATGAATATACACAAACACTAACATTTAATATTTTTCACGAACTACTCAATTCAAGAGATGTTACTTTGGTAACTTCTTGACTCAATTTGCTCAAAAAAAATATTAAACTACCAAATAAATTGAATATATTAATAAGGGTAATCCTAAACCAAATTAAGTCTCAAGGACCATTTCTAACAAAAATTGTACTATAATGCCACATATAATGGCTTTTTTAATTAAGGCAGCGGGTCCCACATTTTGATAGGTCCCCATGTAATTGGCAACCACGGGTTCTCTGCTTGCTTTTCTTCTGTGTTGAAACCGTGACCCGTCCAGGCCAGAGGCTTTCTCCAGAGATTTATTATGCTGCACACGGTCGCTGAAGCAACCCAAATCAACCCTAGAATTTGTGCGCCGCTTCTCCACACCCAAAACCCGTGCGCTGCACCGCACCGACTACAGTGTGCCTCTGAACCCCAAGTCGTCGAGCCACCACCATTAACAGTCCTAATCTCGCGCCGTCACCGCAAAACAACCACACTCAGCACGAGCTCCACCGCAGATTAATCTCTAGCCCCGCACACCACCCTCATCTTCACCTTGCGGAGCCACCCAGAACCACTACCCAAATCCCATAACCACTGCATCATCTCCCACTCACAAACCACCACCAAGCATCCCAAATAGTCACTCTCCCTCGATTTGGGAATTTGGGAATTTACCCCCAAATTCGAAACTAGGTTTTAAAATTGGGAATTTTACCCCCAAATTTAAATTTAGGGTTTACAAAAATTGGAGAGTATTCTCCACTTAGGGTTCTGATTTGAATAGAATATTTGATAAATGTAATTTCCAAAAACAAACATGAATCAAGTATGAGTTGCTCTGATACCAATTGTTGGGAAAACTGATAATTAAATATGATCTTCTTCCTAATGATCAAACATATATATATATAATCTCATACTGTAAACATGTTATAAACTAAATGCGAAAGCGTACCTGAATTAGACATAATGATAATATTCTCTGTAGAGCACCTTTGATTTGATCTTATGGTCTTCCACCTGAAGAGCACCTGTATTTCCCTCTTGATTTTCTCTCTTGATGGGGATAGAAAGAAAGGAACGGGACTTTAACTACGTTCTGTCTACGTGCTCTCAGAAGGGGACCATGACCCTTTATATAACCAAAATTATGTTAATTACTTGAGTTTTAGTATTTCCAATTCGACCCCTCATCAAATTAGAAATTACTTTATGGTCTCTACACAATATTATTTTCATGACATATGCCTTTAACCAAAACTTTAATTTATTCAGATCACTTTATTATTTGGCTTAATAAATAATGACCCTAACACATTTAAATATGTATCATATATATACATGATCTAAATTTTGTCAACAATTCCACCATCATCTTGAGGTTGTTCTCCATTAACATGGACAAAATTGAGCTTGTTTGATGACATTTCATTATACCAATTTGAGTAACCTACAGTCTTCTCCATTTCTATATAACATTCAACTTCTGCAACACACACAATCCATACAAATAATATACCATTTTAAGGTGTTATGTGAGTTTGATGGTGGTGCCTGCTACCTTGGATGAAAGCAAAGGAAGTAAGATGAGAAGGGTTCAAGGATGAATCACTGTGAGAGAGAAATGAAAAACTAAGTGAGGCATTGAGTTAAGTGGTTTTTGGAGGAAAATGGATACATACTTCACTCAACATACTCATGGGTTGCATTTAATGTATACTGCATGTATAGTAGCTTCACCATTATCTTCACGTTAGCCGTGGATCTTCTTGGAGGAGGTGAGGGGTTATAATTCAAATTTTTTTAATTTCGATATAATTTATGATTTTAATCTCCTAAAGATAATAAATATTTAATATATTTACTTATATATTTACAATTTTATTTTCTTAATTTTTCCTTAGTTTTATAATTTTTATATAATTTATAATTTTATTCTCTTAAACTTAATAATCATTTAATATATTTAAATATACATCTAGAACTTTATCTTTTCATCATTTCATCTTTTTATTTTTTTTATATTTATTAATAATATATTATTTAACTTAAATGATAAATATCCGCCCTTATTATGATCACTGTATGCCTCCTTCATTGTAATCGGTGGTTTAACGGGGTTGTGAATGTATTTTTTTCCTTATATTATTTACACGTTTCAATTTTCATTCTCATGCTGTTCTTTTCTCGTTATATTCCCTTCTCTTCACTATTTAATCTATACCGAACGAGGCATTACTTTTCAACTCCATATCAACCTGCAGTTAAATGTAGAATTTAAGTTAGTTGCCATCAAAAGCGTTTGTAGTCCAACGGTTAGGATAATTGCCTTCCAAGCAATAGACCCGGGTTCGACTCCCGGCAAACGCAGTATTTTTGTTTAATTTGAATTTTAGGTAAAAGTCTAACGTGGATTTTATCTGTAAATCCTAAGGATCCAGCTGTTGAAGAATGGAAATAAGCAGCTAAAAAGTGGTGACGTCCAAATCTCATTAACCAATGTGATATTGACAGATCTAGATCTAAAGTTTTTCGTAAAATCCCAAACTCCACCAAACCATAAAATTGTTTATTTTATCCTCATTTTCTTTTTTATGATAACTCACAATTTCAATTCTTTATTGCTCTTTTATTTAACTCATTTAATGAAATATTAAACATCTTTAAGTTTCTCTTAATTTTTTTATCATCATAGCTAAATACTTGTATATATATATATACATTTTTTTAAAATCCTTTTCACTTTTAATTGAATTCACGGAAAACTTATCAAAGTTGTAATTATTTCATACTAAATTATCTTTATTCAATGGATTATAGAAAACATAACAAGATAAAAAAATTATTGACATAAAAATACATTTCTAAAATGATAAATTATTATTTAAAAGTTATTTACAATGAGAAGTAGTAGGAGTAAAAAACAGATGCAACACAATAAATTAGATTCATACATACGTCACAATCAGAAATTCCGGATCATTAAAAATGCCTCATTTTATAATAAAGAAAAATTAAAAATATAATTCAATAAATATAAACCCTTGATTATGTTTGTTTCTCAGTTGAAAAATTCGTTCAACGTCAGACTGCTAATTCTCGTTAGTCACATTCGACTGAAAAAGTTGTAAAATTTTAAAACAAACGTACTATACTCAACAAAGCAAATTTTTTTATTACGCATAAAATTGATTTTTTTAATGCAATCATTTTATATAGATGTGTTTGATTCATCTTGATAATTAGAGATTTGCAAGATTTGAATTTTTTAAAAGATTATATTGAATTGAATCATTTTTAAAAAACAATTTAGTTAAATGAAAATATTTTTTTCATTACTAAAAAATATAAATTAAATTACTAAAAATAAAAATAAAAATAAAAATATAGTTCGAAAAGGTTGATTTTACTCCCTCAAAATAAAAATAAAAATTACTAAAAATTAAATTTAAAAAATTAAAATATTTTTCAAATTGTTTTTATTCTTTCAGAACTATAATCATATTTATTAAATTTAAAAAAATTATTATAAACGTTTTTTTAATTTGAAAACCAAATAAGAATTTACTTCAAAGTTCAGAAATTAAAAGCATAATTAAATAATTTAATTATTATTTGTTTAAAAGTTACGTATGCATTCAATTTTACAAAGAACCAAATCGCAGGCTTGTTAAAGAAACCAGTTAAAGAAATTTTATAAAATAATCCGGGTCAACTATTTTTCTCAGAACAAAATTATTCTTATAATTAGGTTTCGCTAACAAACAACTCATTAATCTGAGTAATTCTAAATTCATTCACCAAAGGTACAATAAGGTTACCTAACAAAACTTATAGATACTTCTTATCACCCGGATGCTAATGAAAAAGAAAAAAAAAATTGTATGATTTTGGAACGGTTCGATTAAAAAAAAAATTGAACTCCCTTACTGATAGTCTGATTAGTATATAGTTTTAATCTTACTAGTAAATAGTATACATCGGAATAAGACCCTATCTTAGAAATTTTGGTGATACATCAAAACTTGAAGGACAAAAATAATGAAACATTTTTTTGCATAGGATACGACAAATATACATTTTACAGATGCCTGAACACTATGATCACAACTGACAAGAGTAACATAAAGCGAGTGAGAAGACCAAGATCCCACCATTAACATTACCAGGGAACCGGGTACTGACAGGATCATTATTCAATGTTTGAATCAGAGAGTAATTAATTCTGAGAGGGGATGGCTTTAGAGGTATTCATAAGAAAGAGCCGGCCTTCAACTTTGATGTTTTATGCTTAACAAAGAAAGCTGATAGCACACTTTTGCTTCGAGTAGGGACTTGGACAGTCTCGCGCCGATTTGGGTTGTCAAATGACCTGAATGCTGTCAATGGTTTCGAACCCTCCAGTGTATCCTGCAGATAAGCCATTCATGAGCAACATTTAAAAATAAAATTTACAAAACCGCAAGGAATATTAATAAATGCTAATCTAGAAAACTTAACAAAAACTTATCCAAATCCTTAACATCGACTCGGTATAACTTAAACCTGTCAAATGAATCTCCAATAGAAGTTTAATTAACTATTACATGTTTGGACAGCTTGACCAGCCTGTGTTTTCTGATCACACCCTTTACATAGTTAAACTTTGTCAAATCAGAAATACATATTCATCAACAGTCAATAAGTACTTCATGTGGTAAGAACGGCCCAAGCTTTATAAGCTCTCAAGTCATGTCTATACTCAATGTGAGACTAAACCACTATCCTTGAGGCTGCAATTAGCTCACAACTAAGATGGGTTAGGAGCGATAGTGATTAAGCTGGCTTTCCAACACAGATATTGAACATTAATCATTTGTCCTATCCCAGAAAGATAAACTTATTTTTGCCCATTTGTTCATATTCATGTCCATAATCCATATTTCTATGCCCAAATGGGTCATTGTACAAGTCGAGTTTATAGATACATTTCACCAAGGTATATTATTTGGTGACATTAATAACAATTTAACACCTTTTTTCCTTTTAACTCAAGTGCTAGAGAAACAACTTCATTTAAAGATTAACAAACAGGTTTTAGAACACTCTATTTGGCATAGGTAAATAAATAACAAGTTGACAATCAAGTCATCACCGGGCACTTGCAATTTTGATGAATATGAAATTACCTTGCGTGTACCACCTAAAGTATGCAGAGGTGTACTAGATGCAGGAACTCCATTTGAAAAGTGAATTTGTGCGGGTGAGGATTTCATCCAGGTGTTCTCTTCATTATCTACAGGCACATAACCGTAGAGTATAAGTGCCTATGACTTCTACTTTAAGAAACAACCATTGTTTGGCCAATTGAACTGAATTATTACATAATAAAAGGGATACAACAATATCACAAACCTAAAAGATGGAAAACTCCAGAAGCCTTGGCAGAAAACTTTGGGTTCTCAATGCTGCAAAAGTAGACGTGATATGATAATGCCAACTATGCGGAGTGTGGAAAACACAAAAAGCAGGAGCTTGGTAGTCTCATACTATTAGATTCCAAAAACTTACTTTGGGGAGGCGTGAGAAGACCCTTTTAAGGTAGACTTTGTCTCTGATGCTAAATGCCATGAAAGAGTTTTCGCTGCAGGGGTGCCTAAATATAGAAATATATATGTTCGGATCAATAATATAAATTCACTTCCAGAAAAATATACAGAACATGTAAAAAATAACGCCAACAATTCTAGAAGGGACAAAACTTTCACCAGAACACACCTGAAGATTGTAAACGGGTTCTGGTTTGAAATGGATTCTGTCTTGCATCAATTTGTATGTGTGGACTGAAATGCACCTTTTTATTGACAGAATCTAGCTTGCATGGTAAAACGAACATATAGAATCATTAGTAAAAACCAAAGCTACTGATCTTTAGTTCCAATAATTACACTTCCTGATGAACATAAAAGCAGTGAGGCCTACTTGGCAAAATGTAGTGCTTATGATGCCTGGGAATGAAAGCCAACAATTGCTGCTGCCGTAGACCTTCTTTATCAGTGTAAATTTGGCACGTAAGAAGTTTCTGCTAGTAAGCAAATATGTTATTTTAACTCCAATTGATTTGTCTGTTATAACAAGGGTATGGCTCAATTTACTCTTTTAAATGCTTCCACCAAATACACGCATAAAGGGAAGCATTAAATAACTTGTGTGTTTTGTTTGAAATAAATGCTTTTTCTTACTAATTTGAAATACTTTTGTTTCCCTAAAGCACAATATCTCAAAAAAAAATTGTAATTACCTGATTTATGGTAGTGACCTTCAAATCCATGGTTGAGACATCCAATGTTTGCTGCTCAAGAAGGTCAGTTAACTTGTATGCAACCGTTCCTAGATGATCAACAGCATTCACAAGGGCTCTTACAGCATAATCTTTCAAGTTGTCGAGAACCCTAATGCATAAATAATGACAACATAAGGAAAACTCGATGCAGCTCACACAATGAGCATAGGAAAGGAAAGGAAATGGTGACAGTGACATTCATTTGTATTGTATCGGATAGAAAATATGGCATGAGCCTGTAATATTAAGAGAACCTCCCCATTGAAACTCCTAGAAACAGTTATATTAACAAATCAGAAAATTATTTTAAGGACATACAATCTAGAATCCTCTTCTAGGATAACTATAACATTCATTCTTACCAATTTCACAGTTGAAACACAACCATGCATTTTAGAATCTATATAATGAATGTTTCTGCATACATGCAAATGCACATCCACACAGATATAATGGGAACACATATAAAATGGTCAGGTTTAGAGACCCAATAAAATGATGAAAAACATTGGTCAATATTCTATATGTTCCACCTTCCAGACCATCCAAAGTTTGTAATTACATATCATCATATTGAAATGAAAAGATACAAGGCCTAAATACATTCATTCTTTTTATCCAAATCTCATTTCAATTATCCACATATAACAAAATACATGTAATATTTGATGAGATACATATGTGCTGACACAAATTCACAAATCAAAGCACCCAAGCAGAATGCAGAGGAAAAATGAATTCATAACATTTGCACTTCTGGAAAGAATCAACCAGAAGAAAAGTTCACCACTACATATAGAAATGCGGCTAAAAAAATAAGGGGATAAGAATGCCTTTAAGAACAATTGAAAAAACTCATTTACAAAAAGAATTCTTACATTTGTTTCTGTTCACTATGGAGATAAGATTTTTCACAGTATTCTGCAGCAGAATACAGTTGAGGCCTGAGGTTCTTAAGTTCCTGAAATGATCATAATATGAAGGTTAAATCTCTATTTATGCATTTTATAAGTAATAACCACAGCAACTAAAGATAAACTACTCAAACATTGAATAAGAAGAAGATCCACGGCTATGTTAATCTCAAAACAAGTATACATATTCTAGACACTTACCTTAATTTAACAGCGCAAATTAGTGCCATTCGGAACTACAACTAGCCATATCTAGATTCCCCATTGTCTCTAGTTCCAGCCATCTCATTTATTCAACATTTTAAGTTAAACACGTAAGAATATCATAGCTTCTCCTGTAAATCCGTAATGGGAAGAAACTAAATACCCCCTTTACCCCAAATCAAGGGTGGAACTCAATGTAATTAATTTCAGGGGCTAAAGACCCTCCAAAACTTATAATTTTCTTTAGTATAAATGTGTACATGTTATATAATATTTTTAAAAAATTATAATGTAATTAATTTCGAGTCCTCTATTATGATTACTATGCAATTTTGGTCTAAGCATATTTTTTGTTAAAATTCAGTCTCTTAAATTTTTAACTGCTACAGTCAAATCCTTCCATCAGCTTCCCGCTTCCTGGAACTCTCAAATTTTCAAGTTCTTCCTTCACCATGAACTAAACTAATTAAATTAATTTAAACTCTCTTCCCCTCAACTCACCAATCAAAACATCCTATTTTATCCAAAAATATAAAACTCCAAATATTGATCTTCTTTGTGAACTCACCTTCACATCCTACAAATCATTAAATTTTCATCAAATTCTACCAATGAAAGATTTCAAATGATTTCTTATCTTAGAGCGTCCCAAACCCTCAAGTCATTGAATATAAAATAAGGATGTGCGTTTTTTTTTTAATAAAGGTAAACTGACGGGAAAACATAATTATAATAATTAAAAAAAAATGGAGGACTAAATTCGAATAAAATATTATTGGGCAACAAAAATTGCTCATTGGTTATTGACTCATTGTGCAAGGACAAGAAAAAATACATATAAGCATAATGGATTGTTATAAATCCTCCTATAATATCTCCCCCACTATTGCTTCCTTTGTAGGGTAAAGTATTAAAGGCCTTTTGTATTTTAAAGACATTCAAATTGTTTAACTTTTCCATTTAATACTTTTTTAGAAGGTAAGGAAAGGCTTAGTAGGAGGATACTGCATCCTATAATTTTTATCAGCCTCTTAAAATTATTTTGTAGGAACCGAATCCTAATAATTTTTTTAAGACCCATAATGGTATAATTAGCAAAAATGTATCTTAATTGACAAATAAATAAAGAGCAAAAATTATCTACAAATCCGACAGTTTTAAAAAAATAACATTACTATGATTTTAATTTAATAGGAATTACTTCTTTAATAGTGATTTATCTATCTGGCCATCCCAATCAAAAATCATCTAGCTACGCCATTGCCCCCACTATATTTACTTTTAACCAAAAGGATAAAACAAATTTCAAACCACCACAATAGCTTCTCTCTGCAACATTATCTTAATTTTTATAGTAACAATTCCATCTCCTTGTATTCGCAGAACAGAATCCTTATCCTCATGTCATTGTCAATTATAACTGACTCAGTACACGCTAATTCCCAAAAACTTTAGACAACTACTCAATTAGCGAACGACACTCAAGGCAAACATTTTTTTCCTACGTTAGCTAAACCAGAATCACAAACACAAACCTAATCAAGAAGAAAACCAGAGGCCAGAAACAAAGTCAACCAAACAAACATAGATCTGAAATTAGAACAATCACAGCGAAGAAAAGAGAGAGAAAACCTGCAAGGCGTTGACGAAGCTCTTGCTGCGCTCCATGGAAGCTTCGTCGTAGGTCATGGCGGAGTTGAGCGGCGTGGCGGTTGGGCGCTCAAACTCCATTGCTGTAACGGACCGGAACTAACGTACCCAAACGCGACGAGGACGAATGAATTTGCGGAAAGGAAAGAAAGAAACTAGGAATGCAGCGGAAACGCCAATGATGAAAGGTGTTATGATTAGTGCATAATGAATATGAAATGGGAACAGAGGAGAGAGAAAGGGAAACTCGAAGAGAGAGAAGGGAAAAGGAGTTGTTGTGAGGTGGTGGTGTGTGATGTGTGAGTGGGAGCTTTTTGGAGTTAAGTGGAAAGGATATTTAATGCAGTGCCACGTGGCAGGGTGGTTAGTTGACGCCAACTTCCACTTCACTCCATTCATCTTTCAACATTAAAAGACAGAACTACCCTCACATCTTCTGTTGACCTTGAAGACGGATTAGGATATGGTCTCCAAAGTAATTGACTGTGCATTGAATTAAAAATTCTGTTTTTTTTTTCACAAATTATATTTATTTTTTCTTTAACTATTTATTCTTTAACTTAAATTATTTTTTATTAAATTATATAATAAATGTATAGAACCCAATTTAACTCATATAAATCTTTACTTTTTTTATAAAAGGTTAAAAAATTATAATGCTTAGTTAAATTTACCTTTTATTTTTAAACACTTAATTATAATTTCACTTTTTCCTTTCTAATTACATCATATAATTTATATATTTATATTATTTTTTTCTTTTTTTATTTAATCCATGTTTCATTTTCTTAATTTAAATATGATTTTTCATTAATTTTATTATCTGTCACTCGTACACAATTGTTGCAACTTGCTTAGTTGCATCCACCACCTAATAATAGATTTCAACCAATAATCAAGAATTTGGGCTCCATTTAGATTTGAAAATAAAATTATAAATAAAAATCTTGTTTTATTTTAAAATTAGCAAAAAAACATATTGATAACAGGAATACATTTTTTTATATTTATTAAAGATTATGAAATTACACGTACAACTTATATAAAAAAAATACACTATGTTAGAAGATATTTTAACATTAACATTTCTTACCTTTTTACAATAAGAGATAATTTAATTATGGTTTTATAAATATTTTTTCAGTTTTCTCTGATTCAACAGCAAAAGTATTTACAGAATTACATATAATTTTTGTCTTTAACAATATACAGATTATTTTTCCCCAACAAAATTTACTAATCTAAATGCTACAAAAGTCCTATCAAAACGTTGTATTATTAGCGGTTTAGTTTGAATTATTGTTTTAAAATATTTTTGTTGAAAAAAAAAGATAATTATTAAGTGTATTTGAGAAAAAAAGATTAAGTTTATAAATGTTTTTAAAGTTGGTTTTATGTATTTAAAGAGAAAGAATAAGACAAGGATTTGTTACCAACCAAAGTACCTGGATCTATACTTAGGTCATCTTTCCTTTTCATTTGTGACATACTTACCTAACTCAACCTCACCACGCAATGAAATGGAAAAGAACCCAAAACCATGTTTCAAAGCTTGAACTTCATGTAAGAATGTTTGTTGCAATACTAAAAAATCAGCATAACTTCCAACTGAAGAATCATCACCATCATAACATCTTTTGATAATCATTAGTTCAGAATCTAAGAACATGATTATCTTTTGATAATTAATCTTCCTCATTACACGCCCGTTTTACTATAAAATCTAATAGAGTTAGACATATTTTAATATTAACCCTTTTAAAACAACTTTATTGGACTTTAGAAAAAAAAGTATGCTTATTATTATTACCTAATGTTGTTAGAATTATGACTACCACCATTTAACCATCTTTCATCATCACAATCCATTTTATCAGTATTAATGAACAAAAAATGTTTAATTGTTAATTTTGTAATTATTATTATTATTATTATATTTGAAAAGTTAAAATAAGTTATTTACTTGGCTAATTTAATTATTAATAAGAAAATAAAATAAGACTACATTGAAATATTTACATATTCATCATTTGAATATTAAAATTTTATTTTCGCACTTAATTTAAATAATTAGACTCACAATGCTAAATCTGTCAAATTCGTAACCTTATATCTAAATATGATAAATTATTTTACCTTAAGTAGAAAATTGACCACCTGCCCCATTATTTAGATAATTATATTTCTAAACATAGATCACAGTAGGGTTTTTTAACAATTTAATAATTCACAAGTAAAACTAACGTTGATGAATAATTTTTTTATATGACTGTAAACTTAGAATTTCAATTAACATCATTTTAAGATTATAAAGATTTTTAAATAAAAAATTAAGGCTCAATTACTTTTTTGTGTGTAATTTATACCATTTTCTGTTTTAGTTTTGTATTTCTTTTAAATGATCTTTATATTTTTCCTTTATTTTAATTGCTACTTTATTTTAGTCTCTTTAACATACCACTTTTATTTTTTAATATATATGAATGTTCTTATTCTTATAATTTATTTTGCAAAGGTTATTTCAAAATTATGAAATTTAAAAAAAAAGTCATGCTGTGAAAACTAAAACAAAACAATGTAAACATAATATTATATTTTTCTTTAGAAAGGATTTCAAAAATGTTTTATATTTTTAATCTTTTATGTTAGAGAATCATATATGACGTATTTTGATAATTTTGAATCAATTTTCTGAGTTTGAAAAATTATGAAAAAAAAAAGAATCTTTGAAAATTTTTGAAAAATATAACTAAAAGAAAAGGACTGTGCCTCATGAATATTTTCTCACTAATTATTACGATAGTTCGTCGTCATTATTCCCCCTTTCTTTTTCTCTGTTTTCTTTTTCTCTTCATCTTTATCCTTTTTTATAAACTTTTCCCTCTCAAAAGTCTTATTAAATGGGCAAAAAAGAAAAGCATGAAGAAAATTAGAAAATCCAACCAATCACTCTTTTTTCTCCATTTAATAACTCAATAACACCAATTATCCACATCATAATCTCCTTTCCTCTCCAAGAAATTTCCACACACGCATTTTCCCTGAAAATGTAATTTTCTCGTTAGATTTTCCCGACTTCACAGTTCCTTGGGACAAAAAAAAAATCCAATTTTTTCATGGCCCTTCTAATCCACTCCCCGGAAATATCCGTTGCTCACCAAATTGCTCCAAACCCTAACCCTAAGCTGACCAAAGTCCACAGCTTCAGACCCCACACTAAGGGCAAAGCGTTTGGGTCGACGCGCGGGCTGAGAATTTCTTGCAAAGTGAAAGATTGTGCAGTTTTGGATTTGGGTTTGGACGAGAACGTGAAATCGTACGGTCAATTTTGGGTTCCTGTGAAGCCAGGGTCGAAGAAGGGCAAAGAGGAGGAGGAAGAGAAGCAAAATTACTATGTGAATGTGGGATATGCGATCCGAACTTTGAGGGAGGAATTCCCTGATCTCTTCTACAGGGAACTTAGCTTTGACATATACAGGTTCGAGTTTTATTGCCTTTATTTATTTATTTTTGTTCTCCACGTGGTTGTTGAGTATGGAAGGATAGTGTGTAAAATTAGTGATGCTTTTGTGACGGTTTTTGTGAAAGGTTCGTGATTCCCCCATGTTACATGCTGTGGTTATTGCTAATTGTATTTTACTTTGGAATTAGAAATTAATTAGAATGCACCAACTTTACTTTAATCATAAAATTATGGACTTTTTTTTTTATATGATAAAACTTAAAGAATTGAATTAGCATGTACTGTTTGTGTCAAGATTTTTACAGTATCCATCCAATCATATTGACATAAAGTTTGTTGATTTTTATAATAATTATTTTGAAAGGGACTCTTAGGATGATCTATGATTGCTTTATATATATGAAATGAAAATTAAACTCTCACGTTAAAAGCCGTAACTGTTTAGTTTATATGGTTTGACTTTTATCAAGTGAGAGCACATTTTTATTAAGTTGTATGACACTTCTAAATGGCCATGTGATGTTCATCATTCATGTAAGATTGGATGATTAAGATTTATTGCCCTCGTTTATCACAATGAGATAGTGCTCTTTGAAGGTTTAGACTTTTCTATCTTAATCTTTAAGGCTGTATATCGTAGAGGCTTGGAGAACTGATTGCGTGTCGTTCACATGATAACTTATTTATGAGTAAACCACAGGGAGGTACTGAAGTGGGTGTAAAGTCAAGAAGATTGGGCCAATGGCGCCTGCTATGATCTTGGTAGTTTTGAACTTTTGATAACGACAATGTCCCTAACAATAAAAGTATAGTGATACATGCCCTTTAATTATAGTTGTACTTCTGTACTTGGTTATCAAAATGAAAGGTGCTAAAACCTCTTCTTTGAGGTACATTTAGCTGGTTGTTTGGTTAAGTATGTTGGAGTTGTAATTGGTTAATATAACTACCCATGACTTATGTCAATTTAGTTTATTCCAAAGGTTGTTGCACTTGTTTTAAACAACTCTCAATTGAAGTTCTTAGCATTATTAAAGTTATCAAGAAGATATTTGACTAGTCAGGGCAACAAGAGGCAAATTTAGTTGAATCAATAAACTAGAGAGAAGCTTCTATTGTGACCCCCTTTTTTCTAGTTTATGTTCTACAAGGGTTGACTACTTCATAAATCCATCAGTAGAATTACGATGGGGTTATTCTCATCCATGAATAATGCCTTTTAATACCTGTTCAATTTTTTTTGCCTGGACATTTGATTACAAACAGAACCAGTAAGTTGTCGTAACTTGCTTAGTCAGCTTTCATTGCCTAATACAATAGTTCAAACAGGGTCACACATATTTTAGCACTCTATATTTGGAAGGTTGAAGCAAAAGGTACTTCCTGAGTGTCTTTGTCTTTGTTTTTGACACTTTTTTCCTAGCAATCCTTAAACATATTAAGCCCTAAAGCTCTTTTTACCCCCTCCAATATGTATGAAATCAAATGTGCTTTTTCAGTAATATGAATATCAAAGGGTCCTATATGAGATAATTAAGTCTACACAAATTTATATGCAGACTATAATGTCCCTTTTTTTCAGGGATGATATTGTGTTTAAGGATCCAATGAACACGTTCATTGGTATTGAGAATTACAAATCTATCTTCTGGGCACTACGATTCCATGGCAAGATATTTTTCAAAGCTTTGTGGGTTGACATAAGTAGTGTATGGCAGCCTGTTGAGAATGTCATCATGGTTCGCTGGACTGTTCATGGGATCCCACGAGTTCTATGGGAAAGCCGTGGTAGGTTTGATGGAACCTCTGAGTATAAACTCGACAAGCAAGGCAAGATTTTTGAGCACAGGGTTGACAACATTGCTATGAATTCACCTCCTCGGTTCAAAGTATTGAATGTGGCAGAATTAATTCAATCTATTGGCTGCCCCTCGACTGCAAGACCAACCTATTTTGAATCATCTTCACCTCCCGAGAAAACGTAGTGTTGCTCAGGTTCTTCAAAAAGTTTTGTTGTAAATTGTGCATATTATGGTAAACAAAACATGGAGCTAGATATAATCTTTGCTTGTCACATAAAGCTGTGAGAAAGAGGTCCTTTGCCAAGACTTGGTTTGTGGTGGTCGACACTATTGATAGCAGTTTTAGGGTCATTGTTGTCTATCGTAACAGTTTGAGTTTTAAAACCCTGTATATAATGCAATTGCTACTTATTTCTAATATCTTACATCATCTGTAGATCCATGTAAGCACTGATGCTGGATTCATATACATTTTTATCCTTGTTTCTCACATCATTTATTCGTTTGACATTGAACTAAATATCAGAAATTGTATTTGAGCACCTGCATACAACTTGTACACAGCAAAAGCTATGTTTGACAAGCCCAAACGGTAATGAATCGACCCTAAAAATTGTTGTTGTCCTATTTTTAATCAACTAAAACATATCAAAGTTACTGACTCTTAGAACATTAGTCCTTAATTTAAGAATTCTCACTTCACCATTCATTAATAAAAAAATATAAATAATTGTAATATTTAATACCAGTAAATAACAAAAGTAGATCTAAAGTTGTATAGAAATTATAAAATATCACTAAGTTCTTTTAAAATTGGCATTATAACAAAGACAAGGGAATAATTAGCATATTGGTTAAAGAATTAAAAACATATTTTTTCATTGAAATATATAAAGATATGTTCTTCTTTAAAATTTTAATATGTTTTTATATGATTTTTGATAATTTTTTAAATTTCTTAAGGCACTAACTGGCAAGACGCATCTAACTATTCAGTTTGGTCGGGGTTTCAAATAGAAAGTTAGGGGTGCTAATAGCATGACTTTGGACAGGAAAAACATTAAGTCCCAGGAAAAGCCTAGAACCAAATGTGTGAATGATTGTCTCTGTCTCTCTCAGATACATTCTCAATAGCTGCAACTATCTTCAACCATGGCTACCAATTCGATTTCCTCATCCTCCTTTCGATTATTCACTACCAGAATCCCTCTCTCCTTCTTCCGCAGAACCCCAACTCTCCTTCCACCTCTAACAAGATCGCCTTTCTCTAAATCCATCACCTTCCAGAGACTTCCATCATCATCCCCACCATCGTCATCATCATCACCGTCCCCATCATCCACATCCCTTCAACCCATCGAAGACCTCCCTCCAAAGCTCCAAGAAATCGTCCACCTTTTCCAATCCGTGCCCGAACCCAAGGCCAAGTACGAACAGCTCCTCTTCTATGGCAAAAACCTCACACCCCTCGAACCCCACTTTAAAACCAACGAAAACAAGGTCCAAGGTTGCGTCTCCCAGGTCTGGGTCCGAGCCTACCTCGACTCCGACCGCAACGTCATCTACGAAGCCGATTCCGACTCCGTCCTCACCAAAGGCCTCGCCGCGTTGCTCGTTCAGGGCCTCTCGGGTCGGCCAGTTAGTGAAATCATTCGGGTCACTCCTGATTTTGTCACGCTGTTAGGGTTGCAGCAGAGCCTGACCCCCTCGAGGAACAACGGGTTCTTGAACATGCTTAAATTGATGCAGAGAAAGGCGCTTATGTTGTACGTGGAAGCTGAAAAGGGTGGTGAGTTTATTGAATTGAAGCCACCTGAGTCGAATTCCGATGGCATTGTTGAGAATTCTTCAAGGGGTGGAGAAAGTTCTGAACTTGGTGACACCGCGGGTGATGTTGGTTCGGGTTCTGAGGGTGATGTGGAATTGGGGGGGAGAGGGAAGAGGATAAGGGAGAAGTTGAAGAAGGAGCTTGAGCCTGTTGAGTTGGAGGTTGAGGATGTGTCTTATCAGCATGCAGGACATGCTGGGGTTAGAGGGAGTGATGGGGAAACGCATTTCAATGTTAGAGTTGTGTCTAGGGAGTTTGAAGGGAAGAGTTTGGTTAAGAGGCATAGGCTTATTTATGGCCTTTTGCAAGAGGAGTTGGATACTGGACTGCACGCCTTGTCAATTGTGGCGAAGACGCCTGCCGAAGTTGAAGGATGAGAGTTCATTAGGCTGGAAGAGAGGTCAAAGTTTTCTCTTCTTTTGTGTTTGAGGATGTATGAGTTTTGTTTGTTGAACCGGATTGGTGCTCTGTATTTGTTAGAAGGGTAATTTCTATTTGTTGGAATTATACACTAATGAATGACATAGAATGAATTAGATTTGTTGAAGCTGAGGCTTTCATTCCAATAATGTAACAATTGTCATTTGAAAACAGATGGATTATAATGATGCTTCTAGACACAATTTGGGTGACTGCTTTGTTGTTTTGACCATTTGATTTTCTTAGTGAAGGCTGATTGTATCCTTAAAGTAGAAGATTCTATTTTGTCACAACATTTCATCTCCTCCTAGGCTATTATCATTAGCAAACTTGTAACTGGAATTGAAAATGAAATCATCAAATTTATATTTTCAGGCATTTTGTTACATATAAGAAGGGTGTAAGTGTATGATAAAGTAAGCCTGATTTTCTTACGATAGAGTATCACTTTCCCATCATGTTAGGTGCAGAATTGTAATGCTTATACTTTGATATTCTCTTAATTTGGTGTTCTCATATCCCATGCATGATTGGATTGTCTGTAAAATTTTAGCCTCAGATTTTATCATCTGAAAAGTGGAAATGCAGTTTAGATTTTAGAATGAGTTGTTAAAATCTGGCTGATTGATGTTTTTGTTATAGTGTGCTAGTGAGAAACATAAAATCAGATTGTTATGCTATTTGTAACTTTAACATAAAGTCTATCTATCATGAACGATGGCAATTTGACTAGATTTTTGGCATTTAATAAAAGCAATGCTGGAATAGTTTCTGGTATTTGTAGAAATTGACTAGGAGGGAGGGGGAGCTGGGATTCCGCGGGAGAGCAAGGATTTTACTGTAATTCTAACAAACAAAACAACGATCCTTGGGAGATCAAGGATTCAAATGTAATTTGACATTGTCTATATGTGTAAAAATATTAAACTAGGGAAGTCTATCTTGTGAAATTAATATTAGGGTGGCAAGTGTCATCGCTGTATTATCATCTATGCCTTTGGTGCATCTTTATTGGTATAAGTTTTCCTTGAATATAGTGAATTTTGTCATCTAGTAACTTCTGTCTTTCCTTTGGTTATATTGTGAAAAAATTACCAGACAATTGTCTATGCCTGTCCCAAAATTTTAGTTTAACTCATTTTTTAAAAAGTCCATGTTGCATTTAGAGGCTATCCTGTTATTACAGGGATTAGGATTACATTGTTTTTTATACTAAGCTCCTTTCAAGATGTACATTCTACAACTATAATCTTCAATTGGATGGCTTTATCCAAGCCACATCAAAGTTTCCATTTGAAAACAAGATGATTTATCACACATGCAGTGTATTGAATGGCTTGAATTATCTTTAAAAAGTAAAACATTTGGTTATTTTAAAGAAATGTGAGATATAGCCGAGGGTTCAAGATACACCAAAATGAAAGAAAATTTGGGCATCCTACGATTCGGCGAATGACTGTGCGAAGGGTATGAATTTGATTGTTAGAGAGGCCTCAACGATAAGAGTACTCGCCCCCCTGCTGGGACCTTCGCATTCTTAATAAGAAAAAAAAAATAAAGTAATGTAAGAAAAGCATCCTCAGAAGTAGATCCAAGCGAAATGCAGGAACACTTTCGGAGTTGAGATGAGATCTCGATTCACTCTCCGAAGGCAAACTTGAAGAAAAACGCACTGACTTAGAGCGCTTCCTCCATAGGAACCTTCGATTTCATTTTCAATGCAGATACACGAATTCTTAAAGAGAAATACAAAAGTGTGAGAATGATGCTCAGTGAATACGAACCATAAGAGTGAAAGGAATCATTTTACGGAATAACCCGCAATCGATGGATGAAATACCCATCATTTCCTTGTTTCTCTTCATTGCATCGTATTTGTTAAGTGAAATGAATTGAAGAGATGATAAATCCACCGAAATACAAAATCGAAAATATGATAGTTGATGAATGTACGGCAACCCTAAATTTCAATAGGAATAAGAAATACGGTGGCATCGCTGCTCGTTTTATAGAGAACGTTTGGTCTGAAACCTAATCCCAGTGTGTCATACTTTTCAATTTTATTTTTTTATATTTTTTTTTCCGCAAAATATATTGGGCCGTTTTTGTTTGGTCCAGAAAGTTTTGTTTCACGTAGCGGTGGGATGAGACTTTATTTATCTGATCAATCAATTATATTAGAAAAAATTATAATTTATGATTACAATCCACTAAAATTTTCTCAAATTATATTTATATCCTTGCATTTTTCTCTATCACAATAGTCTTTCATGTTAAAAGTGAGTGTAAATTTTAAAACAACTTCAAAAAAATATATGTATGGTATAAAATAATGATAATATAAAGTTTTTAAAGTGAAATTTTGTTTAAATTAAAAAAAAACTAAAATTTTAATAAAATTTAAGAAATTACAAAAAATGTTAGTATAATTCACTTATTATATTATTATCATAGTTAATTCAATTTATCTGTTACAGAAATACACCAAATAAATTTTATTTATCCAAATTATTATAATTTCTTCTGTTAATATTTAACTAATCAAAACTAATTTAATCAATTTTTTAATTTAATATTTTTAAATTTAATTCTTTAAAAAGTTTTAATAATTTATTCTAAATTTTGTTTTAAAAGTACAATTTTTATAAATGAATCGAATATTTATTTATTAAAAAGTTTTAATAAATAGATTAAATCAAAGTTTTACTGTATACATTAAATTTGCAATAAATTAATATTTTCATCTCATTTATTATGATCCAAAATAAAATCTGTCCTGTCTATAGAAAAGTAAAACATGCGCATTAATAATGTAGCAGTTCTACACGTATCACAAAACGTGGCATAAAATAAAATAACTCCGCAACAGAGAAAAAACAAAAAAATAATGAAAATTAGGACTTGTTCTCCACCATCTGAGATCTACCAGCAATTGTAGATTGCAGTGCCTACTTTCACAGATTCAGTCCTCTCATTTCCCCCCAAATCCATAAATTAATCTTTTTTTTAGAAAAAAAAAATCGGCTACAACAATTGCATCTCTCTGTATATTCACTTTCTTTCTGTCACTGCAATTTTCCGGGATACGTTTGGGATTTTGAATCATGTGGGGCACTATTGCCAATTTGAAGGAAAACCTGAACAAGATCGCGCTCGATGTTCATGACGACGACGACGACGAAATTCTCCTTGCGTACGGCTCCGGAAGCGCTGCCAACGGCGACGAATCTGCCGTCTCCAGTCGCCGGAGTTCACCCGGCTCCGCCCGTTCCAAATCTGGGATTAGGTCGCCGCTTGCCAACGGCATCGATCATGCCTCTCTTCCTGAGGTAATTCTCTTTCTCTGTTTCTCTCTCGAAGTTGTCTAGTGTGGTTGATGACTCCATTTGATGACATGCAGCTAGGAATGATTGTGAATCTTTGAGCTGCTTGAGAACTTAATGAGCATTTATCTGGTTCTGCAATGAAGTAGGTTTTGGATTTTAGTTTTGGACAAAATTTGGATGCACTTTCTTGGATGTTTTAGTCGTTCTTTAATCGGAAGTGAAGTTTCACCAAAATCATTTGCATTAACTTTGATAATGCAAACTCTTGATACGAAGATTGTCAATGCGAAATTTCAATTCTGATCGGAGACCGGCATAACCAACATCTAAAGAACTGTATACAAGTTTTGTCCGTATCATCTTATTTTGTAGAAAAAAATTAAGCATATTGGATATGAGAAACTTTTATGTAGTTCAAGATTGCCACTGTCCTAGTTATTAAATAACAAGAATCTTAAAAATACTTGTAAATTTATATATGACAACACTAATAATATATGAAAATGAGTAAATAACAAGAATCTTAAAATACAAAAAACCCTAAGTAATTTTTCTAGTAAATTGTGTAATTTCAACTTAAGTATTTGATTACTATTATAATTTAATTCTTTTTCACTATTCTGTGGTGAGTTCGGGGCAGGGCAGGTGTTTATATCCTTGAACCTGAACCCAACACTTCTTTTGTAAAGTGGAGAAATTTGAACTCAATCAAAGCGGGTTGTTTTCATCAAAGTTGTGTTCGATATTAGAAAAGCGGAGAAAACCAAAATCCAATCAAAACGGGATTTTCTCATCAAAGTCGATTGTGGTTAGACTGGTACCTACTAGTTTAGATTTACTGTTATGCTTACTTTCACTAAATTTAGTAGGTTAATTAGTCAAAATTTGCTATCAATGTTTGAAATTGTATTGTCTAAATATGTATATGTTTATAACTTTTTTTCGTCCCTAGAATCCCCTTACTTTAGTAGTGGTATGGTTAAATAAGATGTCATTTTATAACCCAAAAGAAAAAGATGTAACTTCAATATTTGCTGTACTACTTGCAGATAGAACATTACAAAGCAGAAATCAAGAAACTTCAAGCATCTGAGGCAGAAATTAGAGCATTATCAGTTAATTATGCAGCTCTGTTAAAAGAAAAAGAGGTATTATCATTACTTTCCGAAATATATGTAATTAACGTACATTTACTCTGTAGATTTTTGTTTTCATTAGTTCACTTGAAGCTACATAATTGTGCTGCCACCCAAAAGATTACACTTCTGAGCTGAGGCCTAGATACATAATATGATATCCTACGAATACAGGCAATTTTTAAAATTTAAAGACATGATATGTTCAAGATACATTAACAATATACACGAATACACTATTTTTGTAAAGTAACATTCATATTACTAATTGCTCATTAATACATAAGCATAAGAATAGTCAATAGATGATGATTACGTTTTCCAAAAAGGATACATGTGGTCCTGACAAGTAAGAATAGTTACCTATATTTCCCTCATCCATATCATAATATATTTCTTTTACTACGAACATGGAAAAATATGCAATTTCCCTATTCAAGTTAGAGTGTCACTGAAAACATCAATAGTCCCATCCAAAAGAAGTTTTGCCTCTATAGATTAATAACATTGTTGTTAGGAAGGTAGATGACAAGCCCTTGTCATTTGGAAGAGAAATGCTCCTTTAGAACAATAGATACTATCAGGTACCTTTTAACCATTAGAGGCCTGAGCGCCTAGTTGTATCTTATCCATGGAGTAATGGAGTTATATTAGGCAGTTTATTTACAAAAAATAAAAAAATTATGGATACTTTTTGGATTATATCTATACATATGTGGTGTATCAAAACAAATATTGGTATTGGATGTGTCAGACATCGATACTTTTGTATTTTTTGAGTATCTAGGCTTCATATATTTAAATGGTTGGTTTATGACATAGTATTAGAGCCTCTATAACCATGTGATTTGGAGTTCAATCCTTGTTGCCTATTCTTGTAAGCAAAAGTTAAATTTCTTCCCGAGTGGGCTTATGCATTTTTCATGCTTCAAGATCAAAGGCAAGAAGGTGTGCTATATATGAAATCATGCATGTCTATTCACCCAACTGCTTAAGCTTTGGGAATAGTTGGTTCATAACCCAAATCTTTATTTGGACCTTATCTTGGGTCATTTTAAAATAAAGTGATCTAGGCAACAATGGATTGTTTGAAAATAAATATTTTTATATATTCTGGATTTTGTGCCTTTTGAAGTAAATCTCTAATCTTTTCCCCCTCCCTTCACCCAACACAAGAGGACTTTTAATTTTCTTGAATACATAATAGAATTTTACTTCATTACATGGCCTCTTGCAGAAAAGTTTCAAGGATATTGTCACTTATCAATTTATCTTAACTATTAATTATTTTTTGCATTTATGGCCTTTGATAAAATTAACCATCCCAATGAATTCCTTTTCAGGATCACATTGTTAAATTAAATAAAGAAAATGGCTCATTAAAGCAGAATTTAGAGGCTACAAATGCTGCTCTGCGCGTCTCCAGAATTGAAGGTTCTGGAGTATCTACAAATGGAACGTATACAGTCAAGGTATTCCCATTTTCTAATTTAAACTTTATTTTGCCAAGTTTAATTTATGTCAACCTGTCCTGGAGTATTTGTTCTTGTGAAATTTAATTAGCAATGACCATGTTTGATTGGCAGGGCCATGTGCATTCTCATTTTCATTTTGTAGTTGTTTGGTTTTTGGGCCTTGAATCTAAGTCAGCCTATGAAAATGCTGCAAAACTATTCTGAAAAAACTTCTTGTTTTACGGATTGGTTGTGGATAGAAGTGTGAGTGGAAAACAAGGCATACATTATAAGTGTATGAAAATACTTTTGTGTCATCATAAAAATTTGGTTTTGTTTGTTTCAGAGGTTTCTACACACCAGAATGAGTTTTGTATCTGAGATAATTGCGTGCTTTGAGATAGCGTTTTTTGCTTATTATTTAATGGGGACTGAACTTACCTAAAAGCCTTACAACGATTTTTTTCTTAAAGTTGTTTACAAGTAACACATTTTCATAGGGAAAGGTTGGAAAACGATGTATTTACGATCTTTGTGCCTCAGTTTAAAGTTGAGTTTCCATTTAAAGATTTACGCATATAAAAACAACATAGGATATTCTGTGGTTTTCATAGCCAACAGTTTCTTAGGGTTATTTCTTTCTTTATTCTTAAATATAGAAAACAAGGTATTAGAGGGCTCTTTTGGAGAGATGGTTTTTCTCTACATGTTTTTAAGCTGTAAGTATGAAAGTACTATTAGAACGGGACTAATGAAAATATAAATATGATATGATTTGTCCACTTTACTGTTTAGGATTTATATCAATGCAAGTAATAAGTAATTAAAAAATAAATAAAAAACTTGTCACACATTTATCATTCATTTGGAAGAATATGAATTTCCTTAATTTTATACTTTTCTTTCTTTTGGTTGTCTAGTTTGGGTTGGTGGAACTTGTAGATCTATCTAGTGTTCCAGATGGTGTCATTAAGCTTGTGATATCTGCTGTGTTTCTTCCCAAGTATGGGAATAATATGTATTATTATTGTAATGGTCTAATAGTATTTGGTTATGTCTTTGATCTTGATAGATAACTAAGAATTCATGTTGACTAGTTCAAATATTTGTGCAGGGAAGTAGTGATCAATCACCCAATCGACAGAACAAGCTTAACATGCAACGTAAAAATCGATATGCTATAAACAATGGAACTGTGTCTACTTTGGAATCTGATGCTATTCAAAGGGAGATGGAATTCAAACATTCAAATTTACAAGGAAATTATAAGGTAAATGAAATGTGTAATTTCTGGTTAATCTTAAATAGTGAACCTGCATAAGAAGATTGACTATTGGTTGTTGTTTGTTTATAATATTCCTTGTCTATATTGGATTTTGATATATTAAGTTATTGTTTGATTACATGTCTGTTTTGATTTTCAAGCTCTCCTCACCATTTAGTGCACCCCCCAATGGACATAGCTTATAATTTGATTTCTCTGCCCTTAAAAGGCAAACACCATATTTTCCACGTAGTTTTGATACATAACATTTTTGTAGCTTTATATTTCTATTTTTAGTGATGAGTGAATTTGACAACAGATGTATGAATGCCTTCTAGGAGCTTTCAGTTGATGGAAATACCACAGTAGCTGTACAACATCCCCAAGATATACAGAAGTTGAAGTTAGAACTAGAGCATGAACGTGATCAATTGGCAAAGATTCAGCTAAACTTCCAAAGTATTTTTATTTTACTTTTGGAATGTCTAAATTGTACCTGGACATTTAAATAGAAGTGGCCTAAGTGTCTAACATTCTTATTCTTTCTTTACTATCAGAGGAACAAGGATTGAGCAAGTCTTTTCAGGAGGAGCTTCAAATATTAAAGTTGGAAAGAGACAAAGTGAGTTATATTAGGTAGATATATAATTTTTCATGATCTTGGCTTTAAGATATTAACCTGCAACACTAAAGAGAGAACCATCTATATCTGAAGTTTGTTGGGATAACATACTGATTACGTTTAAGATTATATGAAGGAAATAATATTGAACTTAACAAGAGGTATGGGGGATGAAGCAAGATGTATGGAATGAATGTTACATTTCATTGTTGTGTTGTATTTTGGGACACCTTTTGTGATTAATACTTTTTATGTTGTCTTTTGCCATCAATTTTGTCCTTTCAATGATGAGATATGCTGTAGTGAACTCTTAATCAAAAGCACCTCAATAATTTCAGCCTTTTACCTTTCCAAATTGGGCCTTTATTCATTACACTGTTAAGAGACTCAATGAACTCACTAATTATCGGAGTATATATGTTTTAAAAAGAAATCTATAGTATTTAAATAGCTTTTGATGGACACAATGAGATTTTGTATCCAACTATCAATAGAGAAACCAGCCTTGCTGTTAATTCAGATAACAACCCAAGTTGAAATTTTTCTATCTTTCTCTTTGAATAGAAAATAATTGGCATAAACTAAAAGACAACATGAGCAGCTTTTAGCAATTCTTCAAATCTTCTTTTCATTATTTCTTTCGATGCATCATTGAGCAATAGGTGTTTTCTCAAGGATACACTTTTGCATTGTCATGGGCTGGGTTATTTAGCTTTTGGTTTTCTAACTCGTAATATGTTATTTCTTTGAAGACATCAATGGAGTTGAACAAAATACACAAGGAGTTGAATGAGAAAGTATCAGAAATAAAGCATCTACAATTTAAGTTGACAAAACGGGAAAATGGAGCAGGGGAGGCTGTGGATAGCTTAAAAAGACTTGTCAATACTTTAGAGAAGGAAAACGCCTCTCTTAAGGTTTATATATTTATGCTTTACCATATTTGACTGCATCATAGGTTACTACTATTTTTTTGCTCTAAAATTGGTAATGACGTTTTGTATTATTTTGGCTTCTGAAACATACTAATATGATCCTATTCCCGTTGTTATTAGATGGAAAAAAATGAAATTGAAGCTGCTCTTGAAACTACTAGGAAGTCTTTCACGGATAAAATGATGCCTGATGCTTCACATAATCAGAAAAAAGATTCGAGCAGCGTCAGTGATGTGAGCCAAAATTTCATAGCAATATGCACTTGACAGGTTATGCATTCAGATCCTTTAGTCATAATTGTTTTCTTTTCATTTTGGGGATTGGGCATTTGGTGTTTGGTAACAGATGCCAGATCACTCCAAAAGTTTTCCAGGAAAGGAAGAAATGGAAAGATCCTTAAACAAGCTAAGCAAAGATTTGGATGAAACACAGCGGGACAGGGACAAAGCAGTACAAGAATTGAACCGTCTCAAACAGCATTTACTGGAAAAGGTTTCGATCTTTTTTAATTTACTCACTTTCTTAATTTTTAAATTCAATAGTGGAACCAACGACGAGTAAGCATAACATTCAGGAGACAAATAATGACTCCATTTTGTTCATTTTTCATTTGTGTCTGTCTCATTAACTAATTATTAATTTTATAATATAATTGTGAGACATATTTTTCGTGTGTTGAATTTGACCTGCCTTTTACCCTTGCTAACTGACCAAACACAGTTGACTATAGTGTACTTTACAGTGTTAGAAACTGAATAAAACACTCTTAGGTGGTGTAAAACTACTCTATTATCCCGTCTCAGTGAATGATAAAGACTGAAACTATAAAAATATAATACAGGGTATGTGAGAGACTTGGCATTTTCTATCACTGCCCTCTACTTTTTTTCCTGTATATGTCAACTTTCCCTCCTGACTCCCTTTGGTTGACTTAATGAAAATGTTACACAAATCACTCAATCTTCTCTTCATCGCATGCAATTTGTAGTTAATTCAATTCTCCCAATTGCTCCTCTTCACTCCTTTTTATGATGAGCCTTAACAGTATGGTGGTTGTAACCATATTGCATTGGCCTCATGTTAATTGGTCATGCCTGATTATTCTTTCAACGTTTTTCTTTTCAGTAATAATATACAGTATGAAGCATATTTTAAGTGGTCCTAGTGACAACTAAATCATGCAAACATATGCATTTTCAATGATAGTTTGTTTAAATATGTTTTCCTAATAGAATGAGCTTTGGTCATCATTAGTTGCTTTCATTGTGGTCTTTAGTTTGATTTGTTGACATACTATCTGTGTGTTTATGTTAGCCAACTTTTTGAGTTTTATCTATTTTGCTATCTACTGAACTGTTAAATTATTTTCTCCATAATTATCTGAGCATGAATGATATCTGCTTTCATTTTTCATTTTTCATTTTTCATGGATAGATTTCCGATATCCATCTTTTTGCGACATCAATAATGTTTTCCTTACTGATTTATCTAGGCATCTGAGGAATCAGATAAAATGGATGAAGACAGCAAAATCATCGAAGAGCTACGTGATAGCAATAATTATTTAAGAGCTCAAGTATCACAACTGGAGAGAACACTGAAGCAAGCACTTGCAAGTCAAGAGGAACAGAAGATGGCAAACAACAGTGAACTTATCAAGTCTAGAGAAGCCATTAATGACCTGAACAAGAAGCTTACAAACTGTATGAGCACTATAGATGCTAAAAATATTGAACTTTTAAATCTACAGACAGCACTAGGACAGTACTATGCTGAAATTGAAGCCAAGGTACAAAATACATCAGTGCATCTTTTTTTATTATTCATAAATTGTAGACAATAGTTGGGTTGTTAATACTTGCTCACTTTCATTTTTTTGGTACAGTTCCTTACATCTTTAAATCAATATTTTTTGAAATCTGTGCTTGTGTCTATAGTTATGAATTAGCTTACATGCACTATATTTTTATTCCTTAGGAGCATTTAGAAAGGGAGTTGGCTCATGCAAGAGAAGAAACAGCTAAGCTTTCTCAACTTTTGAAAGTAAGGCTCATTCTGTCTCTAAATACAATATATGTTTGAATGCGCTCTTGTTACTACTTTATGCTGGTTTCTATTTTGAGAAACGAAACTGTATCGAATTATTGAGAGAATAGAAAATTGGATTATATGATACAGATGCAGATAAGAAACTATTTATCCCGTATGTAGTTACAACTCTAACTAAGCTAACTAGCTTGCCAGCTCAGCATAGCTGAGTCTGATATCTATTTCAGTTTATACTCTAATAGGTTACAGTGCAGTACACAGGCGTTTTAAATTTTTAATAAACAATATTTACTACATACTTCAATTAGTAGTTAGAAGAGAACTAATAGTTAATATTAATTTATTGCACTAAATAAATCAATATAGACATAAAATCTTATCTTATAACCTGAAGAGTAAAGGCACATATTTAAGTTTATAGTTTTTGTGTCATTGTTTTTAAGAATTCTTAGATACACTTTTGAAATTTTTGTACACGTAAGTTATTTTAATATGTCAATTGATTCTTTTAAAGATAGAGAAAGTAACAAAACTATTTTGGCAAAAAACACGTTTTTCCACTTTTTGGTCTGTTTTTTAGTTTGATTAACATTTATTCCAAATTAATAATCTAAGTTTTTAGATTAACTACATCATCTTGTGTAGCAAAATCTCATTAGTAGATTGTAGGAACTAGGTAGAATCAATCCCTTGGGTGTTGCAAAAGCAGCTATTACGAAAAACAATGAAAAATTTTGGAATGCAAAAAGGTTTAAAGAAAAATTTTCATTACTCAAAATATTTATTCATTTGATCTTATATCACATTGGTCTAAAAATTTTACTGAAGTATAAGTGTCTTGTAAGATAAGAAATTAACTTGTTGGCATTCCTGATTTAGTAAGTTGTAGATTTAATGGTTACTGCTGTCACCAGGAAGCAGATCACAGAGCAGATGTTTCAAGGAATGAAAGAGAAGAAATTTTAGCCAAGCTTTCACAATCTGAGAAGGTGCAAACTGAATGGAGAAGTAGAGTAAGCAAGCTTGAGGATGACAATACCAAATTGAGGAAAGTTCTTGAGCAGAGTATGACCCAGTTGAATAGAATGTCGGTAGATTCAGATTATCTAGTTGACAGGTTAGCCAGTTTGTGTTCTTAGTATGTTCTTCTTCCAACATTTGCTTGACCACGTGATTTCTCAGAAACTGATGAATTTCCTGGAAGATGCATTTGTCTACTCTCTTTATTTCTTTATAAGGTTAATGTTGGAATCTTCTAATTAAGGATTTTGGCTGAACTTAGACTTGGGATAATTTTGTTATTATGTGAGATAGTAAATTATCATACTAATCCAAATTAAATTGGTTGCAGGCGCATTGTCATAAAATTACTTGTAACTTATTTTAAGAGAAATCACAGCAGAGAGGTATGAAAATCTTGTAATTTTTGTTTGTTTAAATGCATTGTGCAGGACTTGGTCTGAAATGAAATCCAATATCCTTTATTATACTCAAAATTGTTATAATTCATGTTGCATTTGTATGGATGCCAGTGGGAGTGGGGGTGGCATAGAGCACAAATTCATGTACTCAGATTTAGTACACCAAATTTCACATATATGGTTAACAATTTTAAGTCCCATGTTTTTTGGTTCAACTGAAATCAGGGAAAATAATAACCTTTTTCTTAAGTTCTCTCGTAGAGTAGTTGAAAAGTCTTTTTCCATTGGAATAAACTAATCCAAACACGCACAGTAAATCCACGAGGTGGTCTATGAGAAAAATTATTTGACATGATTGAATGCAATATTGGTTCATGTTTGAAATTATGAGTATGATCGGGAAAGGTTATGAAATTATATTCTTCACATGCATTTTCTTGCAGCTTATGTTTGCTTTCTGTAACTAGTACCGCTGATGTTGGCTGTTTTATTTTATCTGATTTGTGGGATGTCTTGTATTGATCTTGTGCTTACTGTTTGTTATATTGGGAACAGGTTTTGGATCTTATGGTTCGCATGCTAGGATTCTCTGATGAGGACAAGCAAAGAATTGGTGGTTCTCAACAAGGTGCCGGTAAAGGTGTTGTTCGTGGAGTTCTTGGGCTGCCTGGCCGCCTGGTTGGAGGCATCCTGGGAGGAAATTCCACTGAATCAGCAACTAATGCGGGATCTGATAACCAGGTGATTTCTTCTTATCTGCGATAACTTTTTCTCCTATGGTACACTTGGCCTTATTTCAACAGAGGAGATAACCACTGATGGGAAAATAGATTTATATGATGCTGTGGAATACGGATTATTATCTAGTTGCGTACTTTATAAAATTAACCAATGAATTTTTTCCGACTGAACCATGTGTTTTAGAAAATTGTGTTGATATTTAGTCCTATTATGTTTTTTCGTGCAGTCTTTTGCAGATCTATGGGTTGATTTTCTTCTCAAGGAAACGGAAGAACGAGAAAAAAGAGAATCATCAGGAAATTCAGGTAAAGCCACAGAGGATTCTTCCAATAAAAGTCCAAATACAACGTCTGCTACTGCACCATTTTCCAATAGAAGTCCAAATATTATTTCTACTACGACACCATTTTCGGATCGGAGGTTTGGATCCGGAACAGCATCAGCTTTTCAAATTACTCCTACAAATCAAAACATCAGTGCTCCCCCTCGTAGTTATTTTCAGCACTCTGAACATTTTGATTCTGAGTTCTCAACAGTTCCTCTTACATCATCCGATGGTAAAACTACAAGTTCTAATCCGATTCCAAGATACTAAGCATACATTGGAGTAGCAATTAAACAAAGTTATCTATCATTGATTGTTAAATTATAGGCATCCGATATTGTTCAATTAATTCTTTCACATTCAAAATGAGTGTCTCCTTACGGGGAATTTTAGAAGATGTAGATGTCATGTAATATCGTGTTCCTATTTCTTTGATGTATATAATACACAATTCTATACTCGAACCAGTTCGCAGCTATAATATATTCGCCATTTTATGATATATATACACGACTTAGTTTATTTCATTTTCAAATGACAATCAAAATTTGAACATTAATCATTTAATCAAGTCAAGACAATGCATAACAGCGTTAGTTCCAATAGTAACTTAATTATTTGTAGCATTTTTTTTTACTTACTAATGAAATAATTCCTAAAGTATAATATAATTTTAAAATTATATTAGTATGTATTTTAATTTGTTTATATTAGAATGCTTTTATAAAATATATGTAAAAATTGAAGATTTTTTTAGATATAAATTTTGAAAGTAATTCATAATATATTTATATATACATAATTTAATTCATCAACAAAATTTTCAAACATTATATAAAAATGTATTTATTTATATATTCACAAATAATATTACCTTTGTTCTAAGAGGAAAAAAAAAACATTGTTCTAAATTGATTGTAATTTTTATTTTTAGAAATAATGCTAAATTAATTTTTTATAGTTTTCAATAAAATATCAATTCGTTTATTTTTAATTGTTTTAAAATAAATTACATCAATATTTATATTTTTAATAATAAATCTTTAAACTGCTTTTATTATTAGGAGTAAAGGATATGTCAATATTTTCTCATCAATATAACTTTAAATATATATATATATATATATATATATATATATATAAATAAATTTTCTGTATATTCTATTAATATATTTAAAATTTCACTTTTAAAAATAGTTTTATAAACTAGTTTTGTTAAATCGTGTACTTAAATAACAATTATGTGGACAATTATTATTTATTTGTGTGAACATTGTAAATATCATTAAAAATTATCAACATTAAAGATTATCGAGTACTAATTATCAATATAAATGATATTTTATATTACTCATTTCTATTAGTTATTAGATAATCATTTTTATACATTCTCATCGTAAAAAAACCTATGCCCTATAAACTATTTAAGTTAATTATAACTTGCAAAGAACAAATTCATATTTTTCTTTTTATATTTTCTCCTCGTCTAGAAGAACTTAACAAGAAACTCATTAAAAAAATTTCAAAGTGTATTGAATCATGAAACAAAAACACCAGAAGATTTTATCAAAGAAAAACGTTGACAATTGATATAAATAATTTTTGCTTACAGTAATGATTACTGATGGAACAACTACATGGTCCAACAAACGTTGTAATCCGCAAAATCAACATGCTTGTAGCAAAAATGAAAAGCTACGTCTTGAAGCTAAACCCATGAGCACCACACCCGCCAAAAGCAAATCCAAAAACAAGGCTCCTATTAAATTAAAAGACTCAAGTGGAGCCCTCTTTTTGGTCTTGAGGGTACCAAATACTTAAACACTAAGCTAACTTCTTGCCTTTCAATGGACCTTTCGGGATCTTACTCAACACCTTTTCGTCAAACACAGCATACTGCTTTTTCAACTCGATCAATGCCTTCTCTGCCAGAGGGTCTATCTTGTCCTCATACTTATCATACAAGACAGGAACCGTATGCAATGATACAAAAACTGCAAACGAGATTAATGAAATCAGTAAATTGTCAAAGTTCATTCTCGTAGATAATAAGTCAAGTTATTCTTACCGATGTAGAACAAAGTCAGGAAATTGACCCAGCTCCCCACAATTGATATAATCCATGTGCCAATAATAACCTATCAGAACATCAACAACAAAATGCTTAGTTATACAAAGCTAAACCAAAACTAAAATAAGAATTATAGGTACAGCATTTTATAGTTCAACCTATGTTAAAACCAACAATACATGATAATTACACGTAAAAAAAAAAAAAATTAATGTGCGTTAATGAAATTAGAAGTGTGCATAATGCATACAATGAGGAATGTCTTCAAATCTCTTCCAGAACCGATAGCACGCAAGGCAGCAAATCCACGGTTAATTTGCAATGTCAATGCAGATGCAAATTGAAGAAAAGGCTCTTCAGGAAGATGAACAACTGGGATGCGAGGTGGCGCCCTGCGACAATATTAGTTGATATTACACTCAAATTGGTTAGAGAAAAAACGATAGCCTCTACACATATATGACTTGGTTCAATAAAAGATTAACTACTTCCGAATTCTTACTTGTGAATAAAGGTATGGGCATTGGACCACAAAAACAAAACCGCAAGCAACAGAATCAAAATGTGACAGACTAGAGTAAGCAGATGATATTCAAGCAACTCAAAAAAGATCCAAATAGCAGTGGCTACAGCAAGTACACTAGCAGATATCTTCTTATTCCTCCACAAAAGAACATCAGCAGCTGCAATTGAATGTTAAGAAAAAATAAATAAAGATCAGTTGGTTACGGATAAAAATAATAAATCTAATGTAAAATAATTTAGCGATCATTTAATGGAGATTTTTTTAAAGCACAAAAAGCTATTTATATTATATTTGTTTACAATTATAAAATCTATTTAAAATAGTTCCCGATTTTAATAAAATTTAAATTAATTTCGGACTACTTTGAGAAACTGGAACACTCAAAAAATTAAACAAATGATTCTTTGACGGAAAAATCAAGACTTCCATCGTTGCTGATTCCAAAGATATCATCGATCTATATGTTAAATCAAAGGTTTGATTGATGGGAGCCAAATATAACAGTATTCAACGGATAAATAAGCACAGAACAAAAACGAATTACTATAAATCATGCTCCTTTTTATGAATATACAAAAACACTCTTTAAATTACTTCAAAAAATAAAAGATTCAAAATCCAATATCACACTTATGTGAGCTTGAATTCCACCTACAAATAATAATGTAGCATTCAAAATCTAATTTCCAACACCAACTTCAAAACATCCAAACAGCTTAACTCGACTTCCTAATAAATTAAATAAAAATCCTTAGATATTTATTTCCAACACTTTCAATTTAACAAAATGTAGCATCATTAAAAATCTACTCAACATCGATCAACGAACCACTTCACATCACAGATCTAACGAATCCACAACTAAACAGTGTCAATTAAGAGAAGGGAAAAAAAACTAGAGAGAGAGATTCATACGCTTTCCGCCGCCGAGGACCGAGTGAACGGGCTTCTCCCTCCCGAACAGGCGGAAAACCTTATCCTTGATCGAGGAAGATTCCTTTTTGTCGGAATCGGAATCGGAGGAAGAGGAAGAGTCGTGGCCGTGGAGCTTGTCGGCGATCTTGTCGAGCAACGATTCACCAGCCGCCGTGTGCTCCGATTCTTCCGCCATTGTCTTAGAAAAACCCTAAATCTTCGAACGCGGAATCGCTGTTACAGGGATCGAAAGCTTTTCACTTTCGGCTCGTGCTGTGACAAGTAACGTGCGAGGCGCTCGGTGTCCCCTTTTATGGTGTTGTGCATAACGAGGTTCGGATCCGGACCTCAGGTTCGGGACACATTTGAATCTGGCATGAATAGTAGATAGAGGGAAACCGTTGCAATTGACGGCGTTTTCCGTTTAAAAATTTCACTGTACTGTTACTTTTTTTCCGTAATCTGCAATTAAATTAAAATTAAAATACAAACCAACCAGCTAAAATAAATTTATTATTATTATTATTTATTATATTGCAGTAGCATTCGTTACTGAATAATTTTGAATTTAATATTTGAATATTTTTAATTTTTAAATAAAAACAGTAATTTTTATTTTGATAATTCATATGGTTAAGGTTGACATTATTGTTAATAATGATTTTTAAGTAAAAAATTAAATTCAATTAAAAATTGTATTAAAACCACACGAAATAATATGTTAAACATATGTGTCATACTTAGTTTGAGTTTTATCTAATAAAGACAACTATTTTATGTATCTTACTTTATCTGACAATCAAGTAATATATACATTTTAAGAAAATAATTAATAATATTCATTTTAAAATAGAATAGTTTTCAATCATTTTGGTAAATATTTTTTAAACTAAAATACCTTATTTGTGAATGTAATAAAAGAGATAACGAGCATGATTAAGGTAAATTAAAATAAATATTAATAAAAAAATATTATAAAAAATAGTTAACATTTTCAATATGGAAAATGAAAAGTATACCTCGTTTAGTTTCACTTCTAGATTAGTTTGAGCACGAGAGTAATTTTGGTCTAATAGTTATATATATTATTTTTTATTTATTTTCAAAATTTTCATGTTTTCAATTTATTTCTCATTTTTTTTATTATCTTTATTTTTACACGATTTTTTTTATTCGAATTTAAATGGTTGAAAAATGAAGCGAAATTTTTGTTAGTGGTAAGTGGTAGTGAGAGAAATAGTGACGTGTTTGGCGGTGATACTTTAGAAAAGTAGTGACCGACAATATAAAAAGTTGTAGGACAAGTGCCTGCTACCTTCGGGTCATGGACGGTTCCACCTTTACGTAAAACATATATAATAACAACCAACCAAATACTCTTTTTATCATTTATTTATACTCATTTTCATTTTTTTTATGATTTTATTTTAATATAAGGTAATTTCTCCATATTAATATTTATACCAAGAATTTTGGTTTTAGCCTTTTAAAACATTTTTTTAATATTTTATTGGTTGTACAAATAAAATACCAAATCTAAAACCAAGTGGATTTATACTTTGTCCCATAATACATATTGGCACAATATTACAACAATAATTTTAGTCACTAGAAAGATCCATTCAAGCTTTTTCTACAATATATTTAATTAATTTCATATAATATTATAAATTAAAAGTAATATTTTTCATTCCAGAGAAATAAAAAACAATTAGGGGAATCAACATCAAAACCCAATTATTAGAGACTAACCTATGATTTAAATATATACATATATATATATATATATATATATATATATATATATAAAGTGTTTTAGTCATACAACAATTTTATATATTCATCAATTTATTTTATACATCTATTTCAATGCTCAATAATCAAATTTTTAATTGAATGAAAATTAGAATTGGATATCCTAACCTCTTTCACAACTGTGACTAGATTCACTTGCCCAAAAAAATTATTAACAAAACATTTGATTAATAACATTAAATATTAAATTAATATTTCTCTCAAACGTGAAAGATGAGTCCATGTACACTCAAGAGGGCATCTACTTATGTAAAGTTGTCCATTGTAGTACCAAAAAGTTGGTTTCAGCATCTACCATTATTCACAAGGAGCGTAAGATCTCTCGATGGGAAAAGAAAAAGAATTGAATTCAACTTTGAGGAATAAACAATAGTTAAACAGTTTTTGCTAAATTACGATTTACACGACGCTTTGCTTAGCCTAATTGGAAAAAAGTGCTTTTACTGGAATTTTCCACAGGAGAAACCCAAAATTTTCGCACATGTCTTGTCACCCAAATATGTGTACTAAGTTTCAGACTTTAGATTCTATCTTTAATAATCTAAAATGAAATTGAGTGAGGAAGAATATTATACTTCTGACACCACCGCCAATATCAAATATAAACATACATACTAATAAAAGGGTACGAACATAAACCCTTTACACTAAGCTATGAGGACTTTCCATTTCATTAATCAATAATGCAAATAAATTATTAAATATTATGGTTTTTGTAAATTATTTAATTTATTTACCAAGCATTCTACCTCTCATATTATATATGTAGTGTGATAGTATCCTGAAACTTCTACCAAACAAAATAAAAAATATGAATAAAATTAAGGATGGCAATTGGCAATGGTAAAAATGGTTGATACCAACTGACTAAATAATATACCAAATAAATTGATACATATCAATCAATTGTATGGTAGTTAGGAATGGTTGCTTAACCAGCTTATGCAACCTACTTTTTAATGTATAATTTGAATGAATATGTAAATTGCTTTTAACGTGTATATTAAAGTTGGGTCTAATAGTATTGTGATTTTGCGACACAAAGTTTAAAATAAGTAGTGGGATCTTCTTGAGAGTTGATGCTCCAATTTAAAATCAGTGTGGGATGTTTTTGAGAGTTGAGGGAGTCGTGACTCCTCAAAATTTTGTAACTCCCATGCCATTTATGATTTTAGCTCCAAATATGAACATTTAATATATTTACTTATATATTTACAATTTTATCCTATCATCTATTTCTCAATTTTGTAACTCTTGTATAATTTATGATTTTATCCCCTCAAATTTAATGATCATTTAATATATTTAAGTATATATTTATAGTTTTATCATTTCACCCTTTTATCATTTTTTTCTTTTATATTTATTTATTATTTATTAATAATATATTATTTGACCCAAGATCAATGTTCAAGATCCGTCACAGTTTAAAATTATACCACAATATAATTATGATATAACAAATGACATGAAATGTGAATTTTAAATTAAAAGAAATTGTCATTTTAAAAACAAATAGAAATTATTGTAAATATAATAAATGTTGGAAATCCATGAAAAAGACCTATAAACTTGAGTGGTTCTATTTCTGAATATTTCTGAATATATCCGTTGTTAACTAAATTTCCAACCATAAAGTATTACGACTTTTTTATTTGAGATTATTACGTTTTTAATATTAAAATATAAAAGGTAACTAAAGTATTCAAAATATCTGCGAAGTGTCCATTGTAAACTATTTGGAATTGCTTATGCTTTAGTTTGAATGACTTGAAGACTTGCATGGTTTATGGCACTATAACCAACCAGAGACTTACTGAAAATCTTGTAGCATTGTGGAGGTCATGTAGCAGTGAGAGAGAGGGTGAATTATAGCAGCAGAATTTATCCTTAAAGAATTGGAGATTATCATAAACAATATATTTTTTTCTGTCATAGGTTTCATTTATTTCACTAAATCAGAGATTAATCTCGTTTGTCACATATATCATCTAAATCACTAAGTTAGAGACTAATATGAGCATCATAAACATTATGCAAATGGAGTTTGGGAGGAAACGGGAGAGTGAGAGAATAATAGCAAAATTAATCATGTAAAGTTAGAGTAAGATTCTCGACAAATACCATCGAAGTATATTCAACCATGAAGCTTCTTATTGACAGAGTATTTAAATAGTTATTTCTAGAAATTTATGATCACAAAACACAAGCCAACTGTGCAATATTCAGAAGTAATGAGTCTCAAATATTAACTTGAAAAATGATGGGAACCGCAAGATGAAACTATAATGGAAGATCGATCACCTGAATGGCCTAGGAGGCTTCTCTAAGACAGCAGAGAAGAACATTTCCTGATCATGCTTATCAAGCTTTGGAACAACCACCCATTTCAGTTTTTTATATCTCAGCATTTTGAAGGTCTTCAAGTAATCATACAAATCTTCCTTCAAGCAAAAAAAACTGTCAATCCAGAGCAACCCCCCTGGCCTCAGAACTCTATCCCAGTCATACAATATGAACTCAAGGAGCACAAAATCAATCCATCCATCTAGAAACCTAGTTGTGTGAATCAAATCCAGGGTATTGTCAAAAAATGGAAGCCTTTGATTAATAGTCAAGTAGAGAGGAACAAGTCCTCTAAGGGCTATCATTTCATTGAAGGGTGCCCCAAAATTTATAGAGGCTGAAACTATTGTCACATTGAATTCCCTCATCCTAGCAGCAAAAGTCCCAGTTCCAACACTGAAGTCCAATCCTATTCTGACCTCTCCTGGCTTAATTCCAAGAACATCAGATATAAGGAAATCAGCTGTCTGGTTTGAATCAACCTCCAGGCTCACCCATCGAGGCATCTCATGGTTGGTGAGGTTGAAGCAGTCTGCACACTTAAAGAATCCCTTACGAGTGGTGTTGGCAGCTAGACAAGCAAAGTTCTTGCACCGGTATTGACTCCATCTAACATTTCTATCATCAGGGAGTTTCCACAGGGATTCGGTGATGGGAAATGGTTGGCTGTATAGCTTAGGGGCCCTTGAAAAACACCTTCTCCTTGGTAAAGGATCACAGCCATGAACCATAAGCTTTTGAGCTAGTTTCCAGTCATCATTACAGATCTCACCAACATCATAATCCATGTATTCTTCTAGCGCTTCCTTCATGGCAAAACACGCGTGTCCTATGCTGGTGAAGCTTGCATTAGCCCCCATAAAATTTTGTTTTCCTAATCTGTTAGGCTTGATCCTGACATACTTGCGAATCTCTTCTCGCAGAAAGTAATCAGCAGGTTCATCTGATCGTTTCTTTTTTCTCACCAGAGGATGAGTGGTGAAACTACCGTTTTGCTGATTTTTCCCTTCATTGTGTTGATGAGACGCCGCTGCTGACTCAAGAAGTCCTACTATATCAGCAAGAAATGCAGCTTGCTGGAATACAAATGGGGACGACGATGGATCCTGTCTTGTTTCCCTCAGTTTGTTCAGTTGATCTTGAATTTTCTGAATCACAATTTCAACAGTTATCATCATCACTTCATGTTCATTCCCATTTGGGACCCCAGGATTCAGATTTGAGTATAAAGATTCATTACCAAGAAATGATTTGGAGAGGAACTTGGACATGGCCGCAACAGAAAGGAGAAGAGCAAGAGCACCCGGTATAAAGATAAAATAGTAAACACTTCTCCATTTTTTTAACTTGGTATTAACATTCTGTTTTGTCATTCCCTTATCTTCAGGGCTGAGAATATTGAAATATTTCATGCGTTCTTACAGAACAGAAAAGTACTAGAGACAAAGTTCTCAAACTGCATACACATTGAAGTTGATATATGTAGTTTCAGATTAACAAATAACTGAATATTTGCAGCTCAAAGACAAGATGCTCATAAAGCCTTAGCAACAAAACTGAAGTTGAAACAAGGACAGAAAAACAGATCATGAAATTACCTTCAACCTGATTACTTCGAAGCCGAAAGTATTGAGAGTGATATTCTCATAATTTATAGAAACAATATGGTAAACCAGAATGAACAACTGGGTACAAATGATACTGAGATTGATTTTTCCATATTCCACTTATAATAATAAATAGAGTTTGGCACTAGTGTGGTGCATTATCCAAGCATTCAGGTGATTGCTTAACAAGTACTTAATTTCAATAAACCAAAAGTGATTGTCAACCCAGAAACCTATCTTGCATTTCAGGTAATCACAACTTGCTGAAAATATTAACAATCTGTGGCGATTATTCAACTCTAGCACAGATCTAGAGGAATGCCAGTAGCATGAAACTAGAAAATACAACTGAGGATAGAAAGCCCTAAATAATGCCTCAGCTTTATGAACAAGCTGGAGCCACATGCACCACCATGTTTAGATAATGTAATGTTCTCAAATGTGCAGTGCAGCTTAAGTAAGGCTAAAATACAATTCCTCACTTTAGCTGGTCTGCACAAAACTAGATAAACATCTCATGAGCACAAGAGCTAGGAATTCGTAATCCATTGACTTTCTCTATGCCCAATACGACACCGTTAATGTTGGCCGAAACAAAGAAAAGAAAAAGGCAGAAAACCTTGTCTGCCCCGGGAATGAATGAGCACCAAATGCAAGCTGTCAACTAATGACGACAACCCAATAATGGGTCCATGACTTCAAAACCGGAAAACAAAAATGTACAAGTTCACAACCAATTTCTTGGCCAAATTAGAGAAAGTTAAAAAATAGATAAAATTTAAAACCCCACAAAAGTGAAAAACAGTCTAATATTCTCACCAAGTGGTTCCACTGTGGGTCAAACTAACAAAACTAGAACAAAAAAATAGTGCCCATATCCAATGTCAAATCATTACCAAATCATGGTACTTACAAAACGTGGTCGCGTATAATTTTCCCTAAAAAAGTAACATTTGGTACAAATTCGGTCCATTACCAAATAATTCAGTATTCAGCAACACACTAGAAAACACCCCAGAATCACATCAGCAAGATTCAAACCCAAGGCACTAACATTTTTCTAAATTTCGACTTAATCCTACACATGTTCCCACCACCACCTCGGCATTTTTTATCTCAATTTTTCAAAAAATAAAAACCCACCATCTCCCTTTTCAGGGAAGATTTACATTATGCGTAAAATTTAGATTAATTTTTTCTTAAACGATTTCAGTAACCCTCTCGAATCAAAATTGTAGTTTTATCTCGTTAAGGCATAAAATAAACAACTTTTTTTTTTCATTTTTTTATTACATCCAAGATAAAACTGCAATTTTGAAAAGAAAACATCACTACATATTTGTCATCTAACTTTACCCAAAACCCCGTAAGAAAATTCACCTCCTCCCCCTAGCATCAGCGGCGTACTGCGAGAGCGGCACCACCTCCTGCAGCGGCGTGGACAGCGGCGTGGGCATGGGGGAGTTCCGGCACACGGGGCAGGAGCCGTTGAGCTTGAGCCAGGGGTCGAGACAGCAGAGGTGAAAGTAGTGTCGACACTCGGGCATCATCCTCAGCATCTCCGAATCCTTATACTCGCAGAGACAGATGGAGCACGTGGTGTCGCAGCCGCCGTCTTTCGTGAAGGGGAACTTGGGGTAGGAGTTTATGACGACCTGTTCGAGGCCGGAGACGGCGTCGTTGTGGCGGGCACCGTCGTCGTCGTCGTCCTCGGCGACGAAGATGACGCGCGGGAGGACGATGCCATCGGGGGCATGGGGGTTGTGGCGGCGATGACGGCGGTTGTTGTTGCGGTGGCGGAGGGAGCGGCAGCAAAGGTAGGAAGAGAGGATGAGGGTAGAGATGAGGAAGAGAACCCCGAGGGCGATGGCGATGGAGTAGCCGAAGCCGAGGTTGGTGAAGTAAGGGGTAGGGGGTGGAGGAGAGAAGGTGTTGAAGGATGACATTGAAGAGAAGAAGGTGTAGAAGAAGAAGAGAAAGAAGAAGAAGAAGAAGAAGGATGTGTTGGGAAATTCTCCATTTGTGAAAGGAGAGGAGAGGGACTAGTGTGAGTGTGTTATGTGTTTGTTGTGAGGGCCAAAGGAGGTGGGTGGGGGTATTAGCTGCTGCATTTAATACACTCTACTTCCTCACCCCATTTAATTCCTCCCTGGATTCATCATAACGTGGAGCAAACACAAACACCACACTCTATCAACAATGTCTTTTTCATTTTACTACATTATAAACAACACAACACAACTATTTACCAATCATGTTCAACTTTCTTCTTCTTTTAATTTCATCATTAGTTTTTAGTATGAATTCACGGTTAAATAATATTCAGAGTATGGAAAGTTTGTTACTTGCAGTTACTAAGAGACAGTTTGGTTGGGTTGGGATGGCCTTTTTGTGGATGGGGGAGGTGAAAGAGAGTGTGCGACAAATCATACAACACTTCGGAGGTTACTGGAGTTGTACGTGTACTCACAATCTATTCTACGGATTGTTTGTTGCAATTAACGTTATTCGTTGGACTTTTCAACATAAATTTTTAACTCATTCGCTCCCTTCAAACGTTGGTTGAGTTGGATCAAGGTGTATATACTCAACTTTTTACCTTACAATACAAGTATTTGTCTTTCTTATATATGCAGCGATTCTATGTTTTTTAAGGACTTTTTTAGTGGAAAAGAGGGGCTAGATTAATTCCAGGAAAAGAGGGACTTTTTTTTTTTCAATTCCATAAAATTCTTACTTACTTCATTCTTGTTCATTTTGGAATGAGCTTTCCAAATGTATATTTTTAAACTTTGAATGTATTTTTTTTTTATATTCTGAAGAGTCTATTACAAAATAAACAGGAGGTGTCCAAACATTTTACTTGGTGCACAAAGAATTCTTTACAATAAGTTGGGTAACATATTATTAGCCCATGATTCAAATTAACAGTACTATTAAGATATTAAAAAATTAAAACATAAAAAAGGAAAGAAAAAGTCAAACCAAATGGTTTGAAATTTTGAGGAGGTTTCAAATTTAAGTTCAGATATTTGTATTTATTATTACATAGGAGTAGGGAACCTCTTATCCTTTATCTTCAAGCATTACACCATTACTTAATTTCCTCTCTGGTGTAGAACTGAAGGCATTATTCCATCCCTAGTCTCTTATTCATGTAACCACTTTATCATTTGTAATGTTGTCAATCTATACCGATATTTCAACCTTATAATTGAAAGCCTTATATATATATACACCTTTTCCAGTCACAATTGGCTATTGGGAAGAGAACATGTATATGTATTATCAGATTCAAGGCTTAAAGTCAAGTTTTGATGATTGGTTTATGCATAAACTTAATTGGTAAGAAATTCTTATTGCAAAAAACTATATATCAAATAATATCCATAATTCTGTCACATTTTAACAGTTTTTCTTTTCTTTTCTTTTCCTGTTAAGGTACTGACAAGTAGCTTCAGAGTATTACTCTGACTAATGACATATAGTGAAATCAAATAGACATTTTCAATGTCCTTGAGAGAGAGACCCTTTTAAATATATACTGATTGCTTGAAACAGTCAAGCAATCACATACAGACACACATTTGTTGAAAGTTCGTAGCAATATTATTTGAATAATACAGCTCAACTGTTTCATAAGTTCTCTCATTCTATTCTATTCCATTCCCTTTTTGCTAGAGTTGGAACAGGAGACTTCAAAACGACATTGAACCTTTCCACACGCAAATTATGTTCAGTGTGATATGAAGTTTTGACTCTTCAAACAATTAATTAGGAGCACCAAAATGAAGGGGACTCATCACATTACTCTTGATCAGTTTTTACCAAAAATGTTGTCACATTCCATAATTTATGAAAAGAGTGAATGGCTTTTACATCAAGATTGTTACTGCTACATAATATCTGATCATATACCAAAGGAATTCTAGAATAATTTGACCTTTTCTGACCAAAAAAACACTCACTACGTTATCGGTTACTTCAATAATGCAGTCCTTAGCCCTTGCCCAGAAGTTCTAAAGCCAGAACTCTATTTTGAATGAGGAAAGAATGAAAAACAAACATCCCAACAATTTCAAACCCGAACAAGAGAAGAACATAGGAAACTTCTCATTATTTTTAGTACAATAAAAGTTATACAAATATATTCAAGAAAATTAAACTAATCTAAATCAACACTAGAACCCCTAAAGTGTGACCTTCCGCATACAACTCTGCTCCTTAATAGCCTGTGTTGAAATATTAAAAGTGGTGCTGCAGTTCATTTTCACAACAACATGTCTCTTAAACAAGTTCAAGATCTTCACCTGCCCCGGAACTCTAGAGAAACTACTCATAGTCAACAACCCTGAACCAAAATCCGTTCTAAAATCCGGGTTAGAAACGACTCGATCCGTGATAACATCAATTGTTACATTCATCCTTATTGTTCTTCTAGCCTTGGCCCTCCCAGGTGGTCCTCTTGCCTCCCCCACCATGACACCACGGTAGTACAAACACGTGGTGGTGTTGCTATACCTAAATGATGCAACGTTGGGGTTTTTCACTGACACATCCGCAACTAAGGACAGGTTGGCCCCAAGTCGAGGTGTCATGGTGTTGGAAAGTTCGAGCTTTGTGATTTTGACATCGTTCATGGTGATCACAGGGTCCTTGACTCGAAATACCGTGAAGATCAAAACTATGATTACTATTGCTAGGAGAAGTAGAAAGACTAGCGGGCATGCACATCGTTTGATGAGTTTCTTGTGAGCTTGTTTTCTGGGGTGCGGAGTGGTGTCATCTTCTTCACTACTTGGACGCTCTATTGCTGGAGCTAAGGGTCTTGCTTGCTCCCTATCTGCCATGGCTGGCTTAATTGGAAAATGGAGTTTTTGCAAGTTTTGGAAAACAGAAGTTGGGTGTGTTGTGTTATGTGTGTTGGTTGTGTTATGTGTGTTGTGTTGTGTTGTGTTGTGGTTTGATTTATGGTTTATTTATGATGTTTAAGACTTAAAAATGTGTGACCATGTAGGAAGTATGGTGTGTGGCCCATGTTCCTTAAAGTTGGTTGACTTTTGATAGCATGAGTCCACGAATTCGTTTCTGGTTGTGCGGAAATTCCAACTGTTTGACTAAGCTTCCCCCAACCTCCTCAAATTTCTTTGCTTCATTAATTACATTTTTTGTATAAGCCGAAACATATGTGCTTTTCCATTTATGTTACATTAAAATAATATAATTTTTTTTAACAAGATAAACAATTTTGTAAGAATGATTAAAAATTGCCTTGGAATAAAAAAAAAAATTGATAGTGGGAGAAAAATTATGCTCACTTGTGAATCATTCATCAGGTTTATTGTTGGTTACTTTAAGTAGAGAGGTCTTTTTAGTAAAAAAAAATTGTGTATTTTATCAAATGATGAAATTATTTTAATTTAGTAAAAATAAAATTTATCTAATTGAAAATGACATAAAAATTATATAAAAAAGTTAGGTTTAATTAGTTATTTAATTCTTATAATTATACAAATTTTATTTATTTTGGTCTTCATACTTCAAATTCACCCATTTAATAATTATAAATACCATTTTAATCTCTTTTAATTCATGTATATATATATATATATATATATATATATATATATATATATATATATATATATTTTTTTAGTCTTTACCGTCTAATACTTAGAGAATAATTTTTTTTAAATAGTATATTTAAGAACTAAAATGATGATTAAAGTGTAGGGATTAAAAGGTAAAATTTGTCAAACTATAGAGACTAATTGAGTAATTTGACCTATTTTTAATAACTTTTATTTATTAATAACAAGGGAATTTAAAAGATTGTGTTATTAGTATTTTCTATAATAAAATTATGAGTAAAGTTCGTTTTACAAGAAATAAAGCTTATAAAATTTGTAAGAAATCATAAATAAGGCTTATAAAAATTTATAAATAATATATTCAAATAGAATATAAAACACAATTTTTTATTAACATTGTTTCTATCTTTACACATTTTGTTTTTCGAGAGACTAATCCTTCACATTTAGCAATTTAAATATGGTATTTAAGCATTTTTCAGTGCACATGAGGTCAAGTTTTATTTTATTTTCTATTTTTTATTTAATGTCAAAATAATTAAAATTTATGACTTTAAATTCTTTATTAAAATTACATATGAAAATATTTTATTACTATGATACATATTTAGTCGCTAACTAAAAAAATTTTAGTCATTTCTAAAAATCATAGTTTTTTAATATAAAATGTTTCAATGCTATGAAAATAATTATCTGATGAAAGTTAAATTATTAAAATTTGTCCAATATTAAAAATTATGCGTGACTTGGTCAAATTGAAGCATTTTCGAACATATAGCCAAATCGAAGTCTTTCTTTTGTCTCAAAATAATTATAATTTAAGATTCATTATGCATAAACCAAGAATGATAATAAATATATATTATTTGTTAAAACAGTTTTATTAAAATAATCTTACTTTTTCAATAAATACGTTACTTTTATTCACAGTGAAATAAATATTTGGAGGTAAATTATAAAAATTAATACTTTGTGAATTTTTTTTTTTCAATTGGAGAAATCATCAGAAATAGTTTTGTGAGGTAGGTTTTTGGGGCCATTCCATTTATGATACAAGTTAAGTGAAGTGTGTAAAACGAGAGTAGCACACCAGAAAATAATTCTAAAGATTGTTTGATTTAGTTTTATTTTTTAATTTTTTAAAAAACTTGATAAAATTATTTTAAAAATTAAAAAAGATAATGCTATTTTGATTATAAATTTTTTATTAATTATTTTTTAACAAATAATCTCCATTAAGTAGGAATAAGATATTTTTTATTTTTTTACAAAGGATTATAAAAAAAAATATGAAAATCTATAAATATTAGAAATTAAAAATAAGTCAGACCAAAAAAATAAAAAAACCACCTATTTAAAGAAAATGTCGTCTAAACTAAAAATAATTAAAATTAGATTCTAAATTAAATTGTTGTTTGAACAAAATGAATTACAGAAATTAAAAAAATAAAATAAAATCAACCGCTACAATAAAACTTTTTAAATACTAAACCTATTATACATGAAAGATTAATGAAATATTTCAATTTAAATATGAAAATTTCAATTTTAAAATATTTATAATTTTATCATAATGAACAAGCTAAAAAACACATTTTGCTTTGTGTTTTAATTATTTTAAACAGAGAGAAAAGTAAAACTGAAAAACAAAACAACTTTTAATTATTTTCATCTGTTAGTTTTTAAAAACTAAAAAACTCTAACCATTTTAAAAAACTATTTTAATAATATAACTATCAAATAAAATTTTTAGTTTTTAAAAACTAGAGTACTAAAAACTGTTTTTAAACCAATAATTAAATCTTAAGTGACTTCGTGATACATGAATGAGAAGACTTGACTTTTTCTTTAGGAATTTTAATTTGGTTTTGCAATCTCTTAAGTATTTCAAAACAAAACAAATTCAAACAATAATTCAAAATCAAAAAATAATGTTTTTCATCATAAGTAAGATGAAAACTTAATATATCATTATAATTATATTTTCAATAATTAGCTATTATTTTAAAAGAATCAAACTAACAAATTATTCATAAAAAATAAATTTGGATATAAATACCACTATATTCATAAAAAAATGTTAAAACAAATTATTATAATACGCTAGTTATAGCATTACACATTCAGGGATAAGATTAATTTAATTTAACATTTAGAGAAAAAGTATATCAACAGTATTCAATTTAATTTGAATAACTTTACATTGAAAAAGTCAATAATTAATATTTATCATCTCTAATCTATGAAAAAAAGTATAGTTTTAAATTATTTTTTAGTAACATTAGAATTATAAACAATATTCAACTTTTACACTTCTTAATTTAACATTGAAAAAAAACAACCCTTGGACATATTTTTAAAATTAAAGAACTTGAACTTTTTATTATTAGTAAAAAATAAAATAAAATAATAATTAATAGGATAAAAAGATAATTACTTCTTGAGATAATTGGTACATTGACGTTTAACTTCAAACTAGACATGAATCCCAGAATCAGAAAAAAGAAAAAGAAAGGAATTTTCTTTGTCCTGTTTCTTGTGTGGCTATCATTCATTTGAAGCATAGATATTTAAACAAATCGCAGGTAGGAACTAGGAACTGCCACTTCGATTCTCTTGCACTGTCTTGTTTTGTGCCATGGCATTCACTGCCTTTACTTCAATCACCAGAACTCATCATGGCACCTTGATGTTTCCACCGAAACAGCATGACCAGAACCTTCGAATTCACAGGTTTCGATGCAATGGAACTAACCCGAATAAAGAGTCACAATCACAGAACAATGCACTTCTAAAACTTGCATGGTATAGTTCTGAGCTTCTTGGCGTTGCAGCCTCCGTTTTCCGTTCACCACCTAACGAGGAAGCTCCTCCTCAGCGGCTTCTTCAGACCATTCATCGTGCTGCAGTTGTGGAGACCATCAAAGAAGACTTTCAAAGATCCTATTTTGTCACAGGTTTTCCCGCACCCATTTGCTTAGTTCCTCTGGGTCAATTCCAATTTCTTTCCTTTCATTCATCAGAGATGAACTCGATGCATCAGTTTTGATTTCCCAACATGTTTGATTGGCAAATATTTTACCTGAATTCTTAAGACTGTGTGATATGCACAATATTTTCTAGATTACAGATGATTATTGGATAATGAATCTGATTAATCTCCCTCCAGTATATAAATGTTGGTAACTGTAAATTTAGAATTTTTTTAGCAAGTGTCTGGTACTGGTACAGACCATCATTTTCTTTTATGAAAAGTGTTTGTTTGGAGTCTCATGTTGAGTAGAATGAACTACTTGAAGTGGTATTTAATAATTTAAGCATTGAGGTCTAATAGATTAGTCTTTTGGGTCGAGTTTTTCTATTGTGTTTTAAGCCTTCCTTATAAAATTTGAACTATTCTATGCAACCTTGGCTTCTATTAATGCATCTTCAGGCAAAGACAACATCAGTACAAGTATGTTTGGACAAACTTCTTCATAAGTGTTTCTAAGAAAGAAAAATAAGAAATAAATTGAGGTTTAACTTTTTATTTTTTAATTTGTGTATAAGGTAATTTTAAATCATGAAAAAACATATTTATTTCTTTCTTTAGAAGTGCCTATGAAAAAGTTTGTCCAAGCATACCTCATAACTAGAAATATGTATTTGTTTCACCCAAAACTGATGAGGGTGTGGAGGTTTAGGGGATAGGATTAGAATAACTGCACTCCAAAAAGGGACAAGCCTCAATGAAGTGTATTTCCAATCTCTCATATCCATGCAACCTCCAAATGATTGCTATTCATATAATGACCACTTGACTAGCATAAAATCACATTAATGTTACTGGTTAGTAATTTGAATATATAATCAGACAGCTCACATGGTGAATCCTCTGTTCTTCTCAACAATCAGGAGATCTGACATTAAATGCTTATGAAGAGGATTGTGAATTTGCGGATCCAGCAGGCTCATTTAAAGGCCTTCAGCGTTTCAAAAGGAACTGCACTAATTTTGGATCCCTTCTGGAGAAGTCAAACATGAAGCTTATGAAGTGGGAAGATTTTGAAGTGAGGACAATTTTTTATTCATTTTCCTATGTCAGTCCTAGTCAAGAGCATATTGTGCTCATTGCATTTGCTTTATACTACACATCACATGGATTTAGCAATAAAAATAAAAATTTCCATGTTTTTTATTACCTGTTTGTTATTTCTTCAAAATGCTGATATTGTTTTTATGCATATGTCTCCATGACAGGATAAAGGAATTGGCCATTGGCGATTCAGCTGTATCTTGTCCTTTCCTTGGAGGCCCATTCTTTCTGGTACATATCGAGTTTTATCTGCCTACACAATATCATAATTCATGCTAAATACAATGAAATTTGACCATGTTCATATATGCCGCAGCAACTGGATACACGGAATACTATTTTGATGCACAATCCGGAAAAGTATGCAGGTGATAAAAACTGTCAATTGTGAAGCTACATGGTTCTACCTTTCAGTCCTATTAGACAACTATCTAAATATCTATAAAAAATTTCAGGCATGTGGAGCACTGGAATGTTCCCAAAAAGGCATTGTTCAAGCAAATTCTAAGGCCTAGCCCTGGATTTGGCTTAAAAGATTATGTAAATAGGTGGTTGAAAATGGTGCAGATGAAGCTTTAAATTACAATAGTTTTGTATATTAAATATTGGGCTCTTTAAAAATTCTGGGAATAGTTCTGCAACCTGAAGAAGGAACAATTTGGATACTTCTTGTATATTTATTAACCAAAAAGAGTAAAAAAATAGAACAGATGTAACTTACAACGTTTTCCTTTTGTTATTTTGTCCATGCATAACAATAAGTCAATACTTGGTGATATAGCTCTTCGCTCCATCTCTGTTTTTTCATGGTCTGTTTTTCACCCATGATCACATTCGTTGCGTGATGCGTAGGGAGGTTCTGTTTGTATTTTTATAATGTCATAAAAATGTGATATATCCATAGAAACTAAAATAAATAAAAAAGAATATATTTAAGAAGCAATGTTAACAATAGTTTTATAATTGAAAATAACATATTTATTGAAGTGAAAGAATATTTACAATTACAAAGAATAATCAGCACATTTTTTTGTTTCTTTCTTCTTCTACTCATTACTTCTTTCATCTTTATTTTTTTCGCCTCTGCCGAATATACTGTCGATAACACGTGACTCCAAAAATAAATGTGGATGTCACCACATTGCACCCAGTGCATTCATATATATTGAATGGAGCTCAACAAATACCATCAAACAAATTAGAACATCGTCTTGCCCATGAAATAATAATAATTGCTCAAAACCCTCACAGTTGATAGTGCTGGATTCTGGAAGACTGTTTTGGGTATATAAGTCCTGTTTGATTAAAGCATATTGGAAGACTGTTTTTCTCTTTATTTCAATCTTCATATCTTTGTAGAAAAACAAACCCGTGATTATTGATGTGAGAAACATTTCTGATTTCCCACTAGCCAATACATTATTGACACCTGAAAACCTAACATGATAACTCAAGTAAATGCTCTGAAATGCATCAACTATAAGTTGTTTGGTTGATGTTAAAGAATCTCGTCTCAAATTATTAGTCATATCTTTCGAAACCCAATACTTTTCTTTCCAGTATAAACTAAATCAATATGGATAATAAAGTAAGCATGCTCTTAGAGAATAAAACATTAGTTTGAAAAAAAAAAATACTAAACCAATTATGGAAGTGAGTTAAGTTGGAGAAGGATGACTTATATTGGTAATGAAATGCATAAATAATAAAGACAACAAAACTCAACACACAATTTGCTATTCGCTTATTGTGCTATTGTACTACTTTAAAAAAATCTAAAACAATAAAAATATTTTTTTCTAAAAAATGCTGTCTATCTCCGTAAGTCAACCGCTCAATTTCTACCACTATCATTTTTTTTTTCTTTCACTAAAGCAAACAAGGGACATTAACGGAAAAAGAAAGGGAGACTTTGCAGCTATTCTAAATATTATTTTGTTTGCTTTCTTCACTAGTTGATTTAGCCGTATCCATCTTATAAACTGCTTCAGATGCTGCAGATGCTGCCTTGTCCAAACCTAACCTCTGCAACTCATTTGAAAATACATCTGCATCTGTCTTGCTGATTTTGTATGGGCTATGGTGAGCATCAGGAAACGAACCATTTACAACATCTTCCTTGTACTCCAGTAAGGCTTTATTGATTACGTCTCCTACACGTGCATATTGCTTACAAAATTTTGGAGTAACCTGAAAAAGATTCATTACCTTAAAATTAGCAATGAATCTCATAATGTATGAAAGAAAAACAAGGTTAAGAAATCTAGAAATACCTTTGCATGGTGGGGGTGTTGTAGCATACCAAGCAGATCATGGTAAACCAGCACCTGCGTGAACAATGGAATTAAATTAAATTAGAAATAGTCTGCTTTCCTTTTACCCAGAAAAGGCTTCTTTTGTTTCTTCCCAAGAAAATAAATATAAAATTGAAACTCAGAAAATGACTTAGGATAATCAAACTAGAATCCCATTCATAATTATAGGTAGTCAAGATACTCAAGACCAATCTCAACATATTCTTGAACTCAAAAATATCTACATCTTCATACATACATACATACATACATACGAAAAGAGACAATATCACTTAAGAGCAACAACTAACTGCGAAAGAGAAAGTCCAACACAGCAACATGATGAAACAGTTAACACCTTCAAATAAAGCAGATATAAAGTCTTGTTAGGCAAACAAAATTGGAGCCACTAATGTAAGCTGCACTCATCTTTGACTAAAAGCCAAAAAAAAAGAAAACATTTCCAGAACAGAAACATTAGCCAAAAGGGAATCAACCCAACTGACCTGTCCACTGCAAAAGGGTCCAGCCCCAATTCCAATTGTAGGAATTTGAAGGGCTGCTGTTGCTGCGGCGGCAACGGGCGCAGGCACACATTCCAGAACAACAGAAAAACACCCTGCTTCTTGCAAAGCCAATGCAGTCTCTACAACCTACGCAAACACAATCCTTTCGGTTTCAGAACAAAAATAAATCAATCAATTCCCAAATAGATGGATAAAGAGAGACCTTGACAGCACTAGCAACATTTTTTCCTTGAGGTCTAAACCCCCCTAAAACACTAATGGCCTGAGGAGTAAGACCCACATGGCCCATAACAGCAACTCCAGCCTCAACAATAGCCTTCGCTGCAACAATTCTAGAAGGAGACCCTCCTTCGAGTTTTACGGCATCCATTCCCCCTTCCTTCAAAATCCGAACAGCTGTATCCACTGCCTGCAAGACTCAAAAACCATTCAACGATGAGTGAAAAATTAAACAAACACCACACGCGCATGAGCACCACCTGATTGGAATCGGACTCGTAGGTCCCGAAAGGCAAGTCCCCGACGAGGAGCGGCGTCTTGGCGCCACGCGCCACGGCGCGGCAGTGGACGAGCATCTCGTCGAGCGTGATGGGGAGAGTGGTGTCATGGCCGTGGACCACCATGGCAGCGGAGTCTCCGACTAGACAGATGTCGACGGCGGCGGTGTCGAGGTGGACGGCGGCGGGGTAATCGTAGGCGGTGACCATGGTTATGGGTTGGAATGATCGGTACTTCTCTGTCAAGTGTCTGAGCGTGACTCGCTTGTTCGGGTTCTGCGCTGTGGGACCCGAATAGACTGTGTTCTCGGGAACGTTGCTGAAGCACCGAAGAAGCCTCGCCATAGAGCCAGGAGAAGTGTTTCTCGCTCGTAACAAAGACGCCATCGTTCAGTGCAGAGTGAAAGGACTTGAAGGGAAAGGGGAAGTACAAATTGGATTCAGCAACTACTTTCCAATACTGCGTTCATTTCTTTTGTGTGAGACTGTGGAAGACAGAAAATTTATGTGTTTTGTTATTATTTACATTCAGTTCATTTTCATAAATAAGAAATAAAATTAAAATTAAAAAAGTTTGAGCATATGGAGATGCGGGGTATCGATCCCCATACCTCTCGCATGCTAAGCGAGCGCTCTACCATCTGAGCTACATCCCCATTTGATTACTAATAGGAATATTAATTTTTATATATATATATATATATATTAATTTACTTATTCAGCTACAAAATCTCAAAATACTATTCACAAATTTACGCTTCTTACATTAATTTACATTTGTTTATTAATTGCAATATTCAACTACATACTTATTTACATATTCAGCTACAAAAATACTCCATTTACAAATTTACGTGGCTTCTTATTAATTTACATAATTTAATTTGAAATGTAGCTTGTGTTTCATATGACAAAAATGTAGTTTATTAGCTAATTTATTTGGTGAAGGAATGACTGACCATATATATATATATATATATATATATATATATATATATATATATATATACACTAAGGAAAGAAATAAAAATACTAATTACTTGAATTATATTGAAGTGATTTTTTAGTGTTTTATAGAAAATTATTCTACACGGTAATTACTTTCAAGATCCAATCTAAAATAATTAAATCGAATATTTTTTTATATATCTCACTGATGAATGATGTAATACACAATCCTCCTATAAACTCACAAAATAATCGAAATACAATCCAATTATAAAATTGATTATATATTTATATATAAACCTTGTATTAATTCAAAATTATTTAATACCTGGTTCATTTATATAATATAAATAATTTTATTAGATGTCATACAAAAAAAGTTACTAATATAATATTTATATTTTTTTTGGAAAACATTTATAAATGTAATAATAATAAAGAATGATAAAAATTACCAAAGTATAATAATTGAGCCCCATAAAAAGTTATACATAGAACTAATAATACACTAATATATATCAAAAAGAAAGATCTTATAGGTTGCTACTAGTTACATATATTGTTAACAACTATGAAGAGTAGTATTATTATATAAGACCATGTATACGAATAACAGAAAGTAGAACCAAAGATCGAAATTTTACACATAAAAAAGAAAAAAAACACATGGTGGTGTAAGTGTGCAATGCATTTATTTAGTTTGGTGGAAGCTTTGTGGTGTGGCTAGGCAAACATGGTGGAGAGGCTTGGGAGCTTGACCTCTCCTTTATGAGAGAGAGGAATGGTGAAGTTGCCAATGACAGGAAGGTCTATAATGAGACGAAGATCCAGTTGATAGTCTATGTCCCAGTCAGCACCAATGTCCCTTGCTAAGGACATCAATATGCTGTATGGAACCTTAACAGGTACATCCACCATGGTTGTGTCCTTTGCCTTCAATGATCCTGGGTCTGGAATTGTCCCTGATGCTATCTCCCTTCACCACACCACACAGCACAACACAAAAGCATAACAAAGATCGTTAGGTTTTTATATTCACAGAAACTTGAAATAAAAGTTAAAATCAACATAAAATTGGTCACTACAAGAAAGAGTACATTGATGTAACGATGAGAAAGAGTACCTGGACGCGCTTTTGAAAGAGTAGTCGATCTCACAGATGGGTATCGGAGTTGAATAGGGGTTACGAACAGCGACCTTAACCAAGTACTCCATACTATCTTTGCTCACACGCTTGAAGTCCACGTCGCTCACACTCGCCTCAGGCTTCGCCATATCGTTTATCTTCTCCGTCACGAAGTTCTTCGCTTTATCCAGCAACTGCGACATTTTTTAATTTTCAAAGAACACGCTTAACACTGGCACTGTGAAGAACGTAGCCGATGCATAACCAATTTATCGCAAGAAGTAAATGGAACCTTTGTCCTAGTGTGCCAATATGAGGATGCTGCTAAGGACACGTGTGTCCTTTACCGACACCTCATTAATCATGATACGTGTCGCACGTTGCCCCTTTGCAATCATCTTCATCACACATAAGCTCTCGAAAAACCCAGAAGTAAGAATAGTATTTAATGCTATTTATTTTTTTAATTATATGTAATATTTTATACTTATAATAATAACAGTAGTAAATAATTTTATATAAACTATATTATAATTAACATTCACAATAAAAATATTTTAAAATATATAAAATTTATTTAAATTTAAAAAATATAAAAATTATGATATAAATATTTTAAATTATTAATAATGTTTTAATTGAAAATAAATGTAAAAAAATTAATTGAATAAATGAATTCAATATTTTCTTTTCATATTTCTGTTGTAAACTAGTATGCCAAATAGTTGAAAAAGAAATGTAATTAAGATTTATAATATAAAAAATATATTATTAATATTTTAACTTTTAAATATATTAATGATATAAAAATTTACATTCTTGTTAAAAATCATAAATTATTATATTGGTTGACATATTGTAAAATGTATCAAATTATAATAATTATTTTAAAAAGTATTCATAAAATAATATAATATAATTAAAAATATAATATGAAAAAACAATATAAAACCTTCAAAATTAAACTCTAAGATGTTTAACTAATTGAACCATATTGTGTCATGCACTTGAACTTTTAACGGGATAGTATATACAACTACCTAGCTAATTTTGTGTTTTTTTTTCCAAATAAACTCTTGGGACCATCATATAGTAGAGCTTTAATGAAGTTTAGATGATATTATGAAAGTGATTAATTTATTATAATTTTTTATTTATTTTAATAAATTTTACCATTAAAATTACAAGTACGTATATTTTATTTATCATTTTCAATTGTATCGGCATAAGACTAGCTAGGTGAATACATTTCACTATATCCAACAGAATACATTGTACATCTCAATTGCAGCAATTAATTAATTAGAAAGCAGATTAAGATCGTAAATACAAGTAATTAAACTTGTGTGCTTGATAGAGGGAGTTACATTACGTATATATGTGTAAGTGTAAATGCATACACATGCATGCATGTTGCTTGTTGTGGCTATAGCAGAGAAGAAGGAGAAGCATTATTACTGGAACCTAACCTAGAGAGAAACTGCATCTGTTTCAGAAGAGGTGTTAGGGTTTCCATGAGCTTTTCGCATGGATGATTGTGAATTCCCTCGTAAGTGGTCACCACGATGCTCGTGTCTTTGGATAACCTTTGCACCTGTTTCTTCACATTGCATGTATGATGGGTGCAGCGGTAGTAGCTTCTTCATTGTCCAATGCAAAATGAAAATATGTATAAATATGCACCACCAAACCAACCATAGTGGTCTTACATTAATTAAAATCAGATATATGCAATACAAGTTAATCGTTGTAAAGGTTGTGTATAAGAATTTGCAAAATAAAATTCATTTCCCAAGTCTTCATGATCTATAATAAAATAATGAATCCAATTAGTAATTTAACATACTGCATCTGTCTTATGGTTCCTTATAAGATTTATTACTGATATGAAATCCTTCTCTCTAATTAAATCATATATATTCTGTGTTGATTAAGAGTATTTGGTTTGAGAAGATATTTTTATTTCATTTATTTTTATTATCTGAAGTTTATAAAGAACAAATGAAAACAAAAATAAAATAAATTTTTTTATTAGTTTTTTTGTTGTACAGTCTTTTAAATAAGAAACAAAACGAAAAAAAAAATCTCATACTAAATAATATCTAATTAAAAACTGCTTTGAAAATGAACTGATCTTCCAACAACGCATTTTCGAATTATTGAACTTCATGGTCAAAGAGTTTTGAGGAATTATAAATATATAGTTTTGTTTTTTTAATTTCTTCTATTCATATGTTGCGTTGCTGACTCCAATTGTAATTATTTTTATACGTAAATTTATTTTCCCATCCTACATATTTTTACATTTCTTTTTCTCTTACACCTTAATTTTTACAAATTACTTCCTCTTTCTTTACTTTCTTTTTCCAAGTTCCAAGTATATACATATATACTATAATTAGGGAGAGACATGAAGAACTGATTTGCTACTTTTAAGGTCCAATTTTATTTTAAATTATAATTGGTGTTGCAGCACATGCATGCAATGGAGTGTTAAGCTTCTGCTATGCAGCTTGTGTATATATTCATCATGTTTATTTTCATTTTTTTTAGTATAATAAAAGATTAATATCACTTCACCAAAAAATTAATATCATTCTCTTCCTACAATATTTCTCTCCACCCTTTTAGAGGAAGTTACTTAAACATAACTAAGCATGCATGTAAAAAAGATATTTTGGTTTACCTGGGATGCATGTTGTTCTTCACAGCTTTCTGCCCATACTTCCTCCAACGATAACCATCATCCAGAATATCATCTGCACTTCTAGTCTGAAACGCAAACCTGGGTCGTGTTGTCTTCTTCATTCTGCCTCCTTTTCTTTTCTCTTTATCATTCTTTTCATCAACGTGAGCCTCATTTTCTGCCATCAAAGCGCACGACAAGGACGAAGAAGACGAGGATGAAGATGAAGCGTATTCCGTCATGGCCTTGGCATCCCCAAGGAAGTTGTTTTGGCCAGAGAAAAGGTTTACCCAGTCTATGTCATCATGCAAGCCTTGAGGTTCCAAAGGGTTTTGCATCACTGAAGTGGTGGGAGTGAAAACGAAGGGAGGAGAGTTTTGTGGTGGAGGGTTTGGAGGGTCTTGGCTTTCCATTGAATGGTACAAGGGAGGGTGAACAAAAAATTGAATTGTTTTGAGGTTGAAATTTATAAAGCAGAAAGATGGTGGAAGGTAGAGGAGGTTGGACAGCCACTGAAACTCATGTGTACGAAGAAACTGAGAACATGCATTGGTGATAACGAAAGATATGCATGTTGGTCACGTCTTCTAAATTTGAGTCATAGCATGCATGTTGTTGAATCAAAGAGCAGTTGAACAAAAGTAGTTGAAATTTAGTTGAGTTTTAGCATTGTGTGCAACATAGGGAACTGACCTGAATTAATCGAGAAAAAGGGTTTTATTTCTATCTGTTTTAACCATACGTGCTATCTGCTTGGGAAATATGTTAATCTTCTTCTCCAATTCCCACACATGTTGAAATCATGTGTTGTTTACCAACCCAAGGCTTTGACCACTTTGCATCTCTTTTCACACTTTTGGATGCTTAATTTTAAATTACATGTTGTGATGTCATACGAGGAAAAACCATACCTTTTAAATTGTCCAGAACTTCCAATAAAATCTCAAGAAAGGAATTTTTATACGTATGTCCACGTATTAAGCAAAAGAAAGATAAATGATCTAGAAAAAAATATTAAAAATATATAGGTAATTATATAGAAATGATAGTTATAAATATTAACTTTGAAAAAATTTGATAATATGAGATACTATTTTAATAACAAAAATATAAAATCTCAAATCAATTAAAAATATGATAGTATTATAATATATATATATATATATATATATATATATATATATAATTAAATAATAATATTGTAATATATAAATAAATTACAACTAATTCTATTAATATTATGATAATATTATAATCAACTTGTTAGATAGATGATTTTAATTTAACACAGGACAAAAACAATCAATATAGATAACCCATTATAATAATATAATTGTCTATTAGTTATTTTTTATAGCGGTTGTCAAACTATCATTAATGTTTATATGACAAATTAGATTGCATTATAAGTCATTGACTTCAAGTTTTGATTCAACATGAATACATTTTTTTTAATAAAAAACTAAGGATACGTTTGGATTGAATTTTTCTATAAATATTTTTTAAATATCAAGTTAAAATGAATTTATATATAAATTATTTTTTAAATGCTCTTGTATGTTTTTTTTTAAATAAAATTTTTAACTTATTATTAAACCAACTAAAATCAAAACTAATTTTAGCTTATTATTATTTTTTATCCATAAGAATTTAACAATCTGATATAGTTTAGTTTACATCATCTTCCTGTTTTATATCAATAGATTCGAAAACAGTTTTATTTCAATACTATTTTATACGGTTCACAAATAATTCTTAATCGACACGATTGTACTTCTATTTTCTGTACAAATAAAAATTTTCTTTGAGAGAGACAAATTACTAGTATATATATAGCACCATATTTTTAACATAAAAAAATAATAAATTATAAAAATAGAAACGAAATATGAAGACATCCAATTCAGTACTCTTCAAGCCCAAAAAAATGGGTCAAGTTTCTTGTCAGGGAAGAAGAAGAAAAAAAAGGTGTTGATTTGAACTCCAAAACAATACTATAGTTGGTGAACTAATAAGAATATAAGAGAGATATTCAAACAGAAACTACAACAAAATTGGAAACGTTCAAAACGTAATAATCATCATAGCAATTTATTTATCACAGTACACATACAAGAAAAGACAAATGGAAAATAATAAAAAAAAAACACAAGAAAAAATGTCTTTCAATGTGCTTAGAGATTATACCCTTAACTTTAAATCAATATCTTACGGTGTACTCGGAAACTTTATCTTGCTTAATCATGTTTCAAGGTCCTCTACTATTACTCTGGAATTAACTGAAAAATATTTCAATCAAATAGTCCTCCATTGTCATCAACTAATGATCATCTTATTTTAAAACTCCATCACTTTATAATTTGTTTTTAGCAATAACTTTTGAGTTGAAGAAGAATATCTGACATAAGATTTCTTCAAAAGAAATAATAAACATGTATAATCAACTTTTATGAAGAAGACACGAGATGGAAGACTAGTTTTGGAATCATGTGGTAAGACATATGAGAAGAAAACTCCCACTTAAAGGAAAATATGTTTTTATGATTTATTTTTCCCCGTTTAGCATTATTTTAATATATATTTTCATATATAGCATACTTTATTTAATATTTATATGAGTAGCATACTTTTATAAAAAGTCAAATATTTTGAGATTTTTTTCTTCACTAACATTCTATTAAATTTATAATGCAGAAATAACATCATTCTATCAATATTTACCTGACTAACACAATTTTCTTACACAGTTGGAATTCGATTTTTAGGAGGTCGAATTTCAACCTTACTAATTAATATAATTTTAAAAATAAAATAATATTTATTAAATATAATAATTAAATATATATATATATATATATATATATATATATTTTATATATAAATATATATATATATATATATATATATATATATATATTCTTTTTTTAAATAATTATTTATATAATTATATAATTAATATATTTTTATAAAGATAGTAAAAACAAATATATTTAATATAAATATATATTTATATCTTTCTATATAACATTTTTACATAAATAAATTATATATATTATTTAAATATATTTTTAGTATAAAATAATTTTAATAAGTAAAAATAATATTTTTTATAGAAATATATAAATATTTTTATTATATTTTAATATATTTTTACTATATTTATAAAAATATATTAATAATATAATTATATAAATATATTTTTATGTTATTTAAAAAAATATTTTTATATTTATTTCATATAATTATATAAATATTTTTTTAATATATATATATATATATATAATATTTATATATTTATTTTATATAAAAAATATATATTTATATTTAATTATTATATTTAATAAATATTATTTTATTTTAAAAATTATATTAATTAGTGAGGTCGAAATTCGATCTCTTGGGAACCGAATTACAATCCACTGCTACAGATATGACTTTCAACGTCGGTTATATAAGGCTTTCAATGGCGGTTATATAACCGACGTTGTATCAGGCGACGTTGAAAGTATAGACTTTCAACGTCGGTTATTCATACACGACGTTGAAAGTTTGGACTTTCAACGTCGGGTATATAGAACCGACGTAGAAACGCTGAATATAAACGACACTGCATTTGGGGTTTTAACTACGTCGGTGTTGATATTATTATTTTCTACGTCGGTTATTGACACAACCGACGTAGAAAGTCTATTTTTTTTTAAATGGCCGCTTTGTTTATACAGGGTATCCCAATGTTTGTATACAATACCTGCAAATTTGAATACAACCCAGACAGACAATATACAAGATATAAACTAATTGAATGTGCATCCAAAAATAAAATTGTATCCAAAAAATATGTATCCAACTACTTATCTACCAAATACACTAACTACTAATCTAACTAATAAACTAACTAGTAAACTAACTAGTAAACTAACTACTAAACTAACTACTAAACTAACTACTAAACTAACTACTAAATTAATAACTAAACTTGCCTACTTCTAACTTTAACAAACTTATCGGCCCAGGTGTTTCTAATATCGTCAATGGTCTCTATGGACAATGCTTCGCTGTCTGAAAATACCTGTTACAAGAAAAAAGATAACTTAACAGAGTATCCAATGACACAATATTTAATTTTATTGAATACTAAATTTAAGCAAACCTGATTCCATGTATCCTCAGTCTTGCTAACAACAATCAGCCACATCCGAGTGCATAACATAATATCCGCACTCATAAGATCCTGGTTGCCTATTACACTACAAAAAATAATATATTAATTTGACATATAAAATGAATGATATAATACATAAATATAAAATTACTTACATTAACAAAAATCCAATTTGGAGTCGTGTTTTTGCTTGTGTGTACTCCATCAATTGTATTGCAAATCTTAAATGCACTGTGCAATACAAGATATAATGAAACAATTAAGTAACAAAACAAGTAATAATTGTTTAAATTATTATAAGAATGTGTACCTATTTACAATGTATTTAATATCTCGCATTAGGTTTCTTGCCCAATGAGCAGAACCAAGCCACAACATTCTGCTTTGGGCAAACAACCAACAACTGCCAATGATTTCTGCTTACATTACAAAAAGTTAGGATACATACAATACACTATAAAATTTAATGCAAATAATTTCATACGCTTAAATACTTACTGATAGAAGTAAGCACCCAAGTAAACTTTCTTCCTTGACTTCATCATCCAATTTTGGATGTATATTTGAACTTCTTCTCTCTTGTTTCCTGATTTTTGTATGGAGTGGGGCTCAAAAAATCCATACACATCTTGGGTACGTTGTTGCTCCGACAATTCATTCATCATCCTAAAGTAGCCAGTTCAATGTACATTAAATATGACGATAACTTCAAATAACATAATTAGTAAATAAAAATAAATACTTACATTGTCCAAAATTGTAACACTGCTATGTTTAGACATTGATTACCAACTGCTATCTCCACAGCATCGGTGTGGTCAATGTAAAGGGGAAAGTTCATATTGTCTACCCCTAACTTATCAACATCCCACTTCACTTGAAAAGATTGAATATACAAGCTGTGGGACAACGAGATAGTAGTTGAAAAATTGGATTTTACGGGACATCTACTTCCTTACCTTTACTAGTATGGGAAGTAGGAACCAATTTAGGCAAGCTGGGGTGGCTTCGAACATCCTACATAAAATAACATTGACTTGAGAAATAATAAAAAATAGTACGAGACTACATATGATAATTAACGAGAAAATATATGCAAACCTTTTTCAAAATAGGCCTGATTAGATGTCTAGGCCATGCAATGAAGGTGCTGGAGGGCTGTCCCACTTGTCATCACCTCGTACGTGGGCACAGGTACAAGAGCATAAGCATCTCGAACCTCTTCAATGACCACTTTGGCCAAGTTAGGTG